ATGTGCTTTCTTGAGCAGGGGGTGACTATGGTCCCAGCTGCCTTGAAATCATTGACAAGATCCTCCCGTGTAGTTCTGGGCTGATTCCTCACCATTCTCATGATCATTGCAACTCCACGAGGTGAGATCTTGCATGGAGCCACAGGCCGAGGGAGATTGACAGTTCTTTTGTCTTTCTTCCATTTGCGAATAATCGCACCAACTGTTGTTACCTTCTCACCAAGCTGCTTGGCAATGGTCTTGTAGCCCATTCCAGCCTTGTGTAGGTCTAAAATCTTGTCCCTGACATCCTTGGCGAGCTCTTTGGTCTTGGCCATGGTGGAGAGTTTGGAATCTGATTGATTGCTTCTGTGGACAGGTGTCTTTTATACAGGTAACAAGCTGAGATTAGGAGCACTCCCTTTAAGAGTGTGCTCCTAATCTCAGCTCGTTACCTGTATAAAAGACACCTGGGAGCCAGAAATTTCTGATTGAGGGGGTCAAATACTTATTTCCCTCATTAAAATGCAAATCAATTTATAACATTTTTGGCATGCGTTTTTCTGGATTTTCTTGTTGTTATTCTGTCTCCCACTGTTCAAATAAACCTACCAATAAAATCATAGACTGATCATTTCTTTGTCAGTGCTTGGTGAGAAGGTGACAACAGTTGGTGCGATTATTCGCAAACGGAAGAAACATAAAATATCTGTCAATCTCCCTCGGCCTGGGGCTCCATGCAAGATCTCACCTCGTGGAGTTGCAATGATCATGATAACGGTGAGGAATCAGCCCAGAACTACACGGGAGGATCTTGTCAATGATCTCAAGGCAGCTGGGACCATAGTCACCAAGAAAACAATTGGTAACACACTACGCTGTGAAGGACTGAAATCCTGCAGCGCCCGCAAGATCCCCCTGCTCAAGAAAGCACATATACATCCCCGTCTGAAGTTTGCCAATGCACATCTGAATGATTCAGAGGACAACTGGGTGAAAGTGTTGTGGTCAGATGAAACCAAAATGGAGCTCTTTGGCATCAACTCAACTCGCCGTGTTTGGAGGAGTAATGCTGCCTAACACCATCCCCACCGTCAAACATGGAGGTGGATACATTATGCTTTGGGGTGTTTTTCTGCTAAGGGGACAGGACAACTTCACCACATCAAAGGGATGATGGGCGGGGCCATGTACCGTCAAATCTTGGGTGAGATCCTCCTCTCAGCCAGGGCATTGAAAATGGGTCGTGGATGGGTATTCCAACATGACAATGACCCAAAACACATGGCCAAGGCAACAAAGGAGTGGCTCTAGAAGAAGCACATTAAGGTCCTGGAGTGGCCTAGCCAGTCTACAGACCTTAATCTCATAGAAAATGTGTGGAGGGAGCTGAAGGTTCGAGTTGCCAAACGTCAGCCTCGAAACCTTAATGACTTGGAGAAGATCTGCAAAGAGGAGTGGGGACAAAATCCCTCCTGAGATGTGTGCAAACCTGGTGGCTAACTACAAGAAACGTCTGACCTCTGTGATTGCCAACAAGGGTTTTGCCACCAAATACTAAGTCATGTTTTGCAGAGGGGTCAAATCACTTATTTCCCTTATTAAAATGCAAATCAATTTATAACATTTTTGACATGCGTTTTATTTTTATTTTTTTGCTGTTATTCTGTCTCTCACTGTTCAAATAAACCTACCAATAAAATCATAGACTTATAATTTCTTTGTCAGTGGGCAAACGTACAAAATCAGCAGGGGATCAAATACTTTTTTCCCTCACTGTAGTTGATTTTCAGTCACCATTCCATTTGACTTCTTGCAACCTGTGGAATACATCCTGCCGAAAGGCAGACTCCTGCTCAAATGTGCTGCCAGAGACAGCATCGCCCCAGGTAGACGAGGCAAAGTTCGCACCGACGTCCAGCCACCAAAACCAATTCCATTAGATGCCGGACGATCGCTCATGGTAGGGGCAGTCAAAAGAGCCGTGATCCGCGCAATGCTGCATTTGCAGAGGCCAAATTCACGCCGGCCATTGAAACTGAGTAGCGAGGGCCTAACAAAATGGGAGAGTGTAGCAAGGGCAGAATTTAATTAAAAGCGGCTGGTGTAGTTGTAGAAAGGTGACAGGAATTATCTGTGATGAGCGGACGTCGTGAGATTGAAAGGCAAGATCCATACAAGGGCAGTCAAGGAAGAGTGACGGGTCAAAATACCTGAAAGTGCGAAGAATGTCGGTCCTTAGGAAAAATAGACAAGACCCAAATAGAATTAGCAACGAGATGAGAAATTATGTAGGTAGCAGCAGTGATCACCGAGATGACGTGGTGGTGGGAGAATGCATCCTGAGGACAGGTCACAAGAGCAGTTTGTTTTAAATATTTTTGGGTTAGATCGCATAAACATAAATGTGTTAATATTCTTGGTTCTTTCGGTTAAGTCACGTTGAAGGGAAACAATAAAATAATAAATATATAAAACAATAAAATTCTCACGACGTTTCGGCCACAACACAAGTGGCCTTCTTCAGGTGAAAGGAACAGACCTGTCGGGACAACAGAGCTTGCAGCTTGAAGCTCTGTCGTCCCGACAGGTCTGTTCCTTTCACCTGAAGAAGGCCACTTGTGTTGTGGCCGAAACGTCGTGAGAATTTTATTGTTATTTTATTTGATTAATTTATTATTTTATTCTCATTCTACGTGACTTTACCGAAAGAACCAAAGAAGATGAGTCCATCTATGTTCGGAAAAGAGAAGGGGGGAGACGAAAAATTAATGTATGCTGTCTGAAAGCCACTGTAAGCGTGAACAATCAATTAAGACCCGAAATGGTTTATCAAATCCTTCCAATGATTGCTAAGCCAGAATCCATCTTCTCGGTTTAAATTATCTCTGTGTTTGTACATGTGGATAGCCTCATGAACGAATCTCTCATGGTAGCCCGATGGCTTGCAAAGAACCTCTGTCTTGGAGAAGTCAATGTCATGTGAGCCTACTGAATTATAACAGTGATCTGCCACGGCCGAGGTGTTAGTCCTACCGTGTTTAAGGTCTGCTTTGTGTTCTCGAATACGGTCCGAGACATGTCGTTTGGTTTCTCCAATGTCGTGAGAATTTTATTGTTTTATATATATTATTAATTTAAGAATATGAATCACTGCAGTCACGAAAGCTTTACATCAAAACATAAATGTGTTGTTAAACCCACCACGACCCGACACAGCACACCAGTGTGTTGGAGAGTAAACCTACAACAACATTTACAATTCGAGTACGAAGTTTCTAGTCATGAATTGGCATGTTTTGTTTACAATTCGAGTACGAAGTTTCTAGTCATGAATTGGCATGTTTTGTTTACGTGACAAACCTTACTAATTGGCTGTCGGGTGGTGGGGGGTTTAACGACACATTTATATCTACGCACTCGAACCCAAAAAACCTCTATTATGGAAAACTGTTTAGTTCCCAACTAATTTGCGAGTATTGCAATGACGTCCAAACAGTGCCAAGTATTTTTTTCCAGTTAACATGCAACCGCAGCATTAACCAGGGCCGGCCCCGCCATCTGGATGAGCACTGCAAAACCTTTCTTGTAACAAGCGGCGAGCACTCTGCCGCTGTGGGCCATGTCACCACCCCCATTGATCGACAATAATAAAATAATCACACGTCTCGACTTGTAACGCATCGCCATGCAATATCGCGCTCGCTGTCTCGTCGAGAGAAGAGGAAGCAGAGGGGAGTGAGGAGAAACCACAGATGGGTTGGAAGGCAGCCACGTGGTGAGCCGGCACCAACAAATGGACATATTGGTGGTACGCCGGTGCAGCGTAACACACCGCGGTGATCTCCTCAAAAAAACGTTCTAAAATCAAAACTTGAACTAACATTCGTCTTACGACCGCTTCGACATCACGAGAACTGATTTTGAAGCACCACCAACCCCCCAAGCTTTTCTGACCCAAGTTTGCAAATATCTTAAAAGTCAATAATTCATACATGCTTTTGTTTTTTACAACACGCACCACCGTTGTACCGCCAATACGTTCAATTGCTGAAGCTCCCTGCGGTCCCCGATATATTAAGGTGCGATGTGGAAATGCTCTATCCCGTACAGACGGGATAGGTAGGAGTCCACATTTTTTGCTGTACCACCGCTCCTCCACCTCGACGCCCACCGGGAAAGGTGTTTGATATCAGTGCAATGATCCACCGAACCTTGCTGCCTCCACAGTGCAGTATAAAAACAGGTCACGTGCGTAACCACCACCACCACCCGACACCACCACCACCACCCGACTAAACAGTTTACATTTCCTAAAATTAAACAATTTGTATTTTACCAGGTAAGAAGGCCTACTGAGCTATTTAGTTTTTTTTATTATAGTTCAAACAAGAGGCTTATCACGTGGAAATTTATGGCAGACAAACACTCGAAACTGTATGTTGTTGATTATAAATGAGGGAAAATCCGGAGGACCCGGAGAAAAATCCACACCACCATGTGGAGAGAGACAAGTAAACTCCAATTATACAGGTGTCAAGGTTGGGTCTTGCATTGAACCAACGGTGATAAAAAATATTTACCCCGAAAGCAAAATTGCAGGTGATGTAAAAAAGATACTTACATTTTTTCTAAGGGAGGTTATTTTATTCAGTCTACTTTGATTCACTGTGCAAGGTACGTAATATACTCTACACAAATTGATTGTAAATCTGGTGGGAAAAACCGGAGGACCCGGCGGAAAATCCACGTGACCACGGGAAGAGAGACAAGCAAACTCCAAATATAGAGCAGACGTAAGGGTCGGGATCGAACCCACGACCTCTTGTATAGCAGTCGAGGTAGTTAACATCTCGCCACCGTGGCGCCATTTACACAATGGATAAGCACACCTAGTTTGCGCATTGCCACAAACACTACTTGGCCGATTCACGACTCTCTTGATACGAGTGCCCGAATCACGAGGAGAAAGGCAATGCTGAAGCACACACGCTGGCGGAAATCACCACCACAACACGGAACAATTTGACAAGGTCCACACTTTAATATCAAAATGTAAAGGCGACATTTATAAAAAATATCATTGTTAAACTCAAGTGATAACCGCCTCGGTGTTATGTAAAGAAATGATTTAACATCAATTTGGCTTCAACTATTGATCCTGCCATAAGACGCACATTCATTTACCCAACACTCTCCAACACGTGGCACGATGGTTCGAAAATCTGTCGAATGACGCCTTTCCACGCCCTGAAAAGAGATTCCGCCCCACCGCGAAGTTTCTCGAACTGCATGCGCTGTCCGTGGTAGGGAGAGTGGAGCCTCCCACGTGAGTGGATCGGGAATCCATGGCTCAGGGCACAGGCAGCGAACCCTAGCCAACAATGGCACGTGCCAGGTTCTGCACGATCGCCATGCGGATGAGATCCTTCTTCTCCTCGTACTCCTCCTGCTCCTGCAGAACAAACCCAGTCCATTATTCCTCCCACCCACATCCTCCTCTCGTGCATTTGCACGGGGCCTGACGCATTGCATGAGGCCTGACGTGTTGCTCGAGGCCTGACGTGTTGCTCGAGGCCTGATGCGTTGCCAGAGGCCTGATGCGTTGCCAGAGGCCTAACGCATTGCACGAGGCCTGACGCATTGCACGAGGCCTGATGCGTTGCAAGAGGCCTGACGCAGTGAACGAGGCCTGACGCAGTGAACGAGGCCTGACGCATTGTACGAGGCCTGACGCGTTGCACGAGGCCTGACGCACTGCACGAGGCCTGACGCATTGCATGAAGCCTGACGCATTGCACGAGGTCTGACACATTGAACGAGGCCTGGCGCATTGCAAGAGGCCTGACGCATTGCATGAGGCCTGATGCATTGCATGAGGCTTGACGCACTGCACGAGGCCCAACGCATTGCAAAAGGCCCGACGCATTGCACGAGGCCTGACGCATTGCATGAGGCCTGACGCATTGCATGAGGCCTGACGCACTTAACGAGGTCCCATGCATTGCAAAAGGCCCCAAGCATTGCACGAGGCCTGACGCATTGCACGAGGCCTAACGCATTGCACGAGGGCTGACACATTGCACGAGGCCTCACGCATTGCACGAGGCCTGACACATTGCACGAGGCCTGACGCACTGCACGAGGGCTGACGCACTGCACGAGGCCTGACGCGTTGCAAGAGGCCTGACGCAGTGAAAGAGGCCTGATGCAGTGAACGAGGCCTGACGCAGTGAACGAGGCCTGACGCATTGCACGAGGCCTCACGCATTGCACGAGGCCTCACGCACTGCACGAGGCCTCACACACTGCACGAGGCGTCACGCACTGCATGAGGCTTGACGCATTGCATGAAGCCTGACGCATTTCACGAGGCCTGACGCATTGCACGAGGCCTGACACATTGCACGAGGCCTAATGCATTGCACGAGGCCTGACGCATTGCACGAGGCCTAATGCATTACACGAGGACTAACACATTGCATAAAGCTTGACACACTGCACGAGGCCTGATGCATTGCAAGAGCCTTGACGCATTGCAAGAGGCCAAATGCATTGCACGAGGCATGACGCCTTGCACACGCTTGATGCATTGCACGAGGCCTGATGCATTGCATTAGGTCTGATACATTGTACATGGCCTGATGAATTGCACAAGGTCTGACGCATTGCAAAAGATCCGATGGGTTGCATAATGCATCAGGTATGTACTCAAAGACCGATCACAACGGGTCATGGTGATATGCATCCATGTTAGACATGTACATGAGACGCACAGTGTCCTCACCTGATCTGTTCCTGCCCATTTTCCCACAGAGCTCCTCTCCACGGCCTCCTCCAAACAGTCTAGCAGCTGCGAGCTCTGCTCAGCATCAAAAATCACCTGGCGAGAGTGGCGATGAGGTCAACAGACAGAGGAGGCCTCAGTATATAAAGCGCTCGTGAAACCCAAGATCGTCCGCAATCAATCCCCCTGCACCAACCAAACAGCTGCCCGGAACCCAACGCATGTGTAGGGGTGCTATGGGGAATAAACACATGCCACGGGAAGGTGTGGTTCACCCACACCTTGGTGGCTACAACAACGTCCGCTAAGGCTCCAGTGGGTATAAAGTGCGGGGAGCCAGGGAGCTCGGGGCAGAGTGTGGGGCCCGAGGCTGAAGCAACCAGTGAAGAAAGAAGGCCAGCTAGGTGAGACCCTGGAACTCCTGTGACCGCTGCCCTTTTCAGGGCTGGCACAGCAAGCCAGTGGTGCGGCCCCAGAGCCCCAGAGTCAGAGTCCTTCTAAGGGCCGGTCTGGTCGGCGGGGTGCCGAGATCTGTGCCTAACCAGGGCCAGAACTGATAGCCTCCCTTAGAGCCCAACCAGGAGGAACTGGGAGCCTAGAGCTTAGGCTAGAGAGCCTGGGGTGTGTTCCTGAGTTATACGGGTGGAGGGGCCGCTACCCCTTTTAGTGTAACCCTTGTTAAGGTTTAAATAAATAGTGCTGCTTTTATTCTGCCGTCTCCGTGTCCTGGAACCCACTACACATGCAAACACGGCCACCATGATGACTTCCTTGCAAGACGAATGCCATTGTCATTGCGCTTTACCTAGTCTGTGGCTGTAGTAAGTATATTAATGTTTTTGTAGAGGACTATTGTGAGGAACCATGAGGGGGCCAACAGGAGGAGGTGCGAGCGGGCTGACAGCCATGGGTGACGTCATGTCACGGGTGCTGTAAGGGGGTAACTTCGGGAACAAAGGCGGGTCCGAGCTAGGGGGAGGAGTCGCCAAAGGGGTACTTGAGGGGGATCCTGTGACGAAGGTGGGGTCGTTGTGGGGAGCCAGGGCAAGGATCGGCTGCAAGAGGTCTCTCCCTCGTCGTCGCCGGACAGTGTTGGCTGAACCCCCGTCCCGGGCAGACGAATGGGAGAGCCAAGGGGATAGCCGAGAGTAGGGCTCCGAGTATTCAGTAAAGATCGGCTGACAGAGAGGGTTTCTCTCTCCTCGTCGCCAGGCGGTGTTGGATGAACCCCCTCTCCGGCCAGATGAGTGAGAGAGCCCCAAGGGATAGCCGATGGTCGGACAACAGTGTTCGGAGGTCTAGGGTAAGGACCAAAAATAGAGAGCACCTACCCCTGGTGTGAGCTTAAGTGTCAAATGTAATAGTGTTAATAAATGGCAACAACCCTCGTAGTAATTTCTGTCCCCCGTGTGGTCTTACAACATTTTAATACTTGTATGTATGATGTTGAGTTTCTTTCGCTCCATACGTAGCCAACCGTGTTAATCGGAGGTGTGGGTGAATAACAACAAACTAAACGCAAAAAGCTGTTTCAAAGAAATTAATTTAAAATCGTGATTGAAAAATGCATAGCTCCAGTGGTTTCCTAATATCAGAAGGAAGAGCATTCCAGACAGCCACAGAAGCGCATCCGAAAGCCCATGATGTGGTGACTGTCTTTGTTTGACGGCTAGCCAAAAGCCGCTGCAAGGATTACTGGAGTTCGAGCGATGGTTAACGCTCCTTGACGAAATCACCAAGGTATTGTGGTATATTTATGGCAAGCACTTTGTGTCAAATGAGTGCGACCTTATGTATTCATTCAGCAACCAAAAGCAAATACAGTTTAGCGAGCACTGGATGGGCACGGTCGGATTATAGAGTACCCGCCACGACACGTGCAAAAGCACTTTGTACATGCTGCAGCTTGGTAATGTTTTTGGCAAACGTCCCACGGAGTAGTGAGTTGCAATAATCGAGCCTTGTTGACATTATGCTACACACCACCATGTTGGCTATGTCACAATTCAATAGTGGTCGAATATATTGTAGAGCCCTGAAATGAAAAATTGCAGGACCTGACCATATTTAGTTTGTAATGTTCATCACTAATATACAAGTTCAAAGGAGGCACACCAGTATTTAAAAATGCTCCAAATTATGAAATACAGCAGCAAACCAACCTCAAATTGAACTTCAAAAGAAGGAGTATAACCTGCTAGTGAATGCCAAAGTTTAAGCAAACCCGACTGTTAATGAAACACTTGAAAGAAAAACCAGTCCAGAATTTGCTTGTGTTGACCCAACACTTATGCAATTCCACATTCCCTGCAGGTCGTGCGGCTGAGGAGATGTGTAAAAACTTAATATTTACGTGGGGGGGACAGCGATGTGATAAAGGAGGTATAGTGGAGGGAGGGTGATGATGGGGAGGAGGGGAGATGAGGGAGGGGGAGGTGAGGTAGGTGGGGAGGTGGGTGGGTGGGGGAGGTGGAGGAGTTGGGGATGTGGCTGGATGTATGGGGGAGGAGCTGAAGGGGTGGGGGAAGTAGGGAGGTGGGGGAGGTGGGGAGATGGGGGAGCTGGGGGAGGTGGGGTGGTGGGGAAATGGAGGAGATGGGGAGGTAGGAGATGGGTGAGTGGATGGGGAAGGGTGGGGAGGTGGGGAGGTGGGGAAATAAGGTGGGGGAGGTGGGGTGCTGGGAGGAGGTCGGGGTGGTGGGGAAGATGGGGTGGGGGAGGGAGTGCTACCTGCTGGTGAGTGAGCAGGGGCACAGCGTCGCCCAGCAGTGTGAGCCAGAAGCCGGTGGGGGCCACTCGAGCGGTCATCAGCGTGAGCAGCAAGCGCGCAGCCTCGGGGAGCCTCCGGTCTCCATAGAGCCGGTGGAACTCACGGTACTTACCTGGGGAAACGTGCACCGGATTTATATTTGGTTGTCTTTGCTCTGATTTCTATTTGAAGGTATTGGCGGTACAACGGTACACGGTATATAGTAAATAAATAATAATACATCTCAATAATTAATTAATATCCTTGCGATTTGCAACCCCGTTCAGAAAATCTTGGTGGTGGTGCATCAAAATCTGTTCTCGTGATGTCGAAGCAGTCGGAAGACAAATGTTTAAATGGGCGGCTGAACATGAAGCTTCACAGTCTGTTGCCATAGAGCAGCACCCAGCCTTGATGACAATTGGCTGCTGTGTTCCAAAGGCAGATTTGACTCCTCATGCCCTAGACTTGGTCAGTGGTTCCTCGATTTAACAGACCGCCCGGTCATTTTTAACGAATAATCTATTTTTTACAATGTTAATTGTTTATCTGTAATTTGGGGCTCCCTTGTGACCGACTGGGCCTCGATGCGTTAAATAATGCTGGCACATACCCCCCCCAACCCATGTGTGCCCCTGAAGCCAGCCTTCACAGGTGCTCACTAACAGCACTTTCCCCAACCGTCTGTTAAAGGCCATATACGGTGGGGGATCTTTGTGTCTTCGGGTTGCGTGTCTGTGCACGTCGCTCACCCAGGAAGGTAAGACGGTCGCTCAGAAGTATAGAGGAACCCAGGCTGTCTATGAGCTCCAAGTCGCAGAAAGCTCCACGGGCGGCGTAACTGTCCAGGAACCTGCAGCGGCACCAATCGATGATCAACCAACAACGATCAACAAATAACGAGCAGACTGACGGTCTCCTTCTCGCACAACCGTCAAATACTCTGGGAAAAATAAGACGTGTTCAAAAACACAACCCATCGGCTGGCGAAGGCCTTCTGGGTGTGCATGATTTTTATTAATATATTATTACTTTTTATTATTTACATTTGTAAAAAATATGATTGTCTTTAATTATTTTTGACAAAAAATCCAGTTTCCATCGTTTTATTTTTGTTGTCCATGACTTTTATTATTATTTTATTATTAATTCTTAATTTATTATTTTATGGAGGCAATACGCAGGCCCGTTACATCACAGTGTTGCATGCGTGAACCGTCAACGAGAGCTTAAATCCGGTTATGGAAAGCAGCGGGGGGGTGAGGGGGGGTTAAGAAAGATGGGCAGCAGGCCTCTTGCCCCAAACAAGATGGTAAGGTCAGGGAGTGCATACATTTTCACAGCATTGATTCAGCACGAGCAAAACCCTGGACCAGTGTCGACATACAGCGTCTCATCAGCTAGCTCGAATCGACGCTGGTGAACTGAGGGAATGTGATACAGGGGCAGTTTGCTTGCACTGGAATGAATGCTGCTTGAAATAAAGCACTCCTAGAAGATGGTGAGATCCGTGCAATAATTAATTGTAACCTAGTATTTTATTATTGTAGCAGGTAAGGCCCCACTGAGCTATGTAGCTCTTTTTCAGAAGCGACCTATCACAAATTATAGCTCAAAGAAGTGGCTTATTGCATTGTTCTTGAAACTGAATGGTCCACACCAGAGACAGCTTTCTTTTGAGCCTATTCTCAAACGGTGTTAGACCAGAGGACGCCAAAAGGCGTAAAGCACAACGACAATGCACTATCAGAGTAATGAGAGCTCGGGGTGAGCATCTACATCATGGGACCTCCTTTGCCATATTTTGAAACTGGCAGAACAATGCATATATTATCAGAGTATGTTTTTGTGTGCATTCTGACCACAAGCATTGTGGTTAATGTAGACATGATTCCTTGTAAAAGGTTTCAGTTTGGTGTTTTAACATCTTAACACCTGTTTTGTTGCCAGAAAAAAGGGGAAAAAACTATTTTCATGAGAGAATGTAGTGGAGATTGGTGGAGTGCTGTGGAGTGTACCGGTCGGCCAGTGCCGTGGTGAGTGCGGGATCTTTCGCACGGAGGCTCCAGTTGAGTGCGAGTCCGAGTCTCCCCGAGCGCACTGCCCTCACCGCCATCTCCTTGCAGATCCCGCGAGCTGGGATACCAACAAAGACAAAAATCCCCCGAAAAGCCTTTCACTTAATGTTGGGGAAAGTGCTGTTAGCGAGTAGTAGCACATATGAAGGCCTGCCCCCCAGGACATACTCTTGCAAAAGGTGACAAACATTCTCTCATCAGAGCATGTTTGTTTGCATGTTTTGCAAAAAGTGTGTGTGGTTAATGCAGATTTGATGCCTTGCAACATGTATACATTTGGAGAGTGAGTTAGCGTGGAGGAGTGTGGGTTAACGACACATTTAAATATGTATACGATTTAACCGAAAAAAAAACCTCTGTTATCATGATTTGAAGCTTTCGTAACTGCAGGAATCCAAACTCTGGTTCTTTCAGTAAAGTCAAGTAGATAGAAAAAATAATAAAAGAACACGACGTTTCGGTCGCAACACAAGCGTCTGTCATCAGGTGAGAAAGAATTATCTGCTGTTGTTAGACAAGACTCTCTTACAATCACATTTAGCATTAACAGACAAAATGTCCATATCTGATTGGGACCATGTAGAGAACATGACTGTTTCTTCAGCTGCTTCAATGTCAACCAAAAGCAGAGTTAACCTGATTGCCAAATTCAACCTCCTGTCAAAAAAGAAACTCAAACCACACTTGAAAAAGTTAGATGTTAACAAGATTGTTATCAATCACAGTAACAGCCCAATTTCTGACCACCTAAAATCAGTACTAGCTAAGGAGTTGAATTTCGCAGTCACCCCCAAACACATCCCAGTGGATGAGCCAGGTCGACGTAGCCCTCAAAGGTCTGGGACACATTCCGGCAGACGTTGCAAGATCTGAAATCGCTGCTATCCTCAAGAATGCTAAGAAACCCATTAGCAGCATTAGCAAGTACGAGCATTTGGATATCGCTCAATTAAAAAAGAGAGATGATATTGTCATCCTCTCAGCCGAAAAGGGCAATGCCACTGTCATCATGGATAAAACCACATACAACAACAAAATTTAGGACCTTCTCAATGATGGCTGCTATACCAAAATTAATAGAGACCCTACCAATAGCCTGGCTACTAAAACCAACAAAATAATTTCTGATGTAGATTCGTTGGTAAGGCACTGCCTTACCAACACTTACTTCACCTGCAATGGTACTTTTTATAAACAGAATGAAGGTACCCCAATGGGCTCTCCCCTATCACCAGTGGTAGCGAATGTTTTCATGGAGAAATTTGAGACAGATGCCATTCAGACATCCACCCTACGTCCTTCCTTGTGGAAGAGATACGTAGATGACACGTTCGTCATCAGGCCACATGGCCTGCCGGCACTGTACCAATTTCTCAACCACATCAATTCCATACAGGCATACACCCATCTATCAAATTCACCATAAAAGTGGAACATGATAGCAAGCTACCATTCCAGGATATTTTGATCGAGAAGAGACCTGATGGCTCATTGGGACACTGTCTATAGGAAAGCCACCCACAAGGATTCCTATCTAAAGCCTGACTCTCACCACCATCCAGACCAGAAGAATTCCCTCATCAAAACACTGCACCATAGGGCTCATTGCATCTCCGACCAGCACCACCTAGCCAGTGAGCTTGAGCACGTACACCAGGCTCTCAGGAGGAATGGATATTCTGACCACACAATCCGCAAAGCTGCATCCCCAACCATGGGTAGAGAAGCATCTGAGGACCCAATCAACACCATCACCTTGCCATACATAGCAGGGGTCACCAAAAGGACTTCCAAAATCTTGAACAAACACAAGATCCAAATTCGGTTCAATACAGTACACAAAATCCGTGATTTGATCCCATCGGTGAAGGATGCGATTCCGGACATGCAATGTCCTGGTGTCTATTAGCTGAGTTGTCTGCGGCAGTAGTTACATTGGTGAAACGAAGCGACGTGTCTCAGACCAGGTTCGCGAACACAAAGCGGATTTGAAACACGGTGGCGGATCATTGTTTCAACACAATGGGCACACATCCAGATATACAAACACAGACAAAACTTTAATCTGGAAGATGGAATCAGATGGAGCAATCATTGGAAGGACGTGATAAACCACGTCAAGTTTTGACTACTGTGATTTTCACTCACCCACCTGTGCTGTTTTCGTCTACTAATTCAAGCTCATGGACATGCTAATTTCTCCATCCCCCACCCGTCCCTGCAAGCCACAAACCCTCCCCCCTCTCCCCCTGAACTCCTGCAGCCACGACTCTACAAACCCCACCCCCCTTCCCCCCCCCTCCCGTGCCTAAATAAAGCCCCAACAGCAGATCAACCTCTATTATGTTTGAACATCTTAACACCTCCTGTTTTATTGCCAGAAAGGGTTAAACCTATTCTTATTATTTTTTCATAATTTTGGATACTGGCAAAAAAGGTCCCATGAGGGTTCGACATACGGAATTTCACTTTGCGGATAACCTCTCAGGACCGGTTCTGTTCCGTATATATCCAGGGTTGCCTATGCAAGGGACGCAAAGAGGTGGACCAAATTCAGAAAATAAATAAATCAATACTCATCCGGGCCTGTTGGCTCGTGAGTTTAATTAAGCACGCTCGACTCACATTGGTGAGGAGCTCTCACAGGGAGAAGAGCTGCTGGACGTAGGGTGCTCAATCTGACTGGAGGGTGGAGAACCATCTAAATCTGATTAGTCATCAGGGTTATTGGAAAGAGCCTTTTACGAGAAATAAAGGGGATCAGTGGAGAGTCGGGCAAAGTTCCATGTATGTTTGTATGTGTGTTGAACTTCTTTCGTACCATGCATAGCCAGTGATGCTAATAAATGTATGTTGAACTTCTTTCGCACCGTACGTAGCAAATCATGCTAATGTATGTATGTAGAACTTCTTTCGCACCGTACATTGCCAACCGTGCTAATCGGGATTGTGAAGGACAATAAACTAAACACAACATTTCTAAAGAGATTCGTTTTCAAACTAGATGATTTTAAAGTGCACAGCTCTATTTGCTTCCTAATATTGGAAGGAAAAGCGTTCCAGAAAGGACCGAGGAGGAGATTGAAGGAGCCAATAGAAGGGGTTTGGAGCGGCGCCTCCAACGGAGTAATTCCCTGATGAGTGACAGACGTACTGTGCTGAAGATGGAACGAAGTCTAAATTCAAGACTTCCCTGGGCTGGAACTCCTTTACACCCTGCGTTAAACGAACTACATCCCTGCTTATTGAAGGGCCACTTGCTGTTTAAAGGCCCGTGGGCATCATGTGCTCAGGCAAATGCAGCGTAGAGAAGAACAAAAAACTGACCCTGCTCCTGCAAGTTCCTCTCCTGGCAGATCCTGAGCACCTTCTGAGCCTTGCGCTCGCTCTGCAGGGGCAGCCGCACGAGCCACAGCTTCATGACAGCGCGGCCCTCCTCACCGCACGCGTCCAGGTACACCGGCGCCAGGCTCCACAGGCTGCGGCACCGCACCAACGCAAACAGACCACCGCCATCACCACCGCCACCGCCATTACCACCATCTCCGCCACCATCCCCGCCGTCGCCGCAACCACCGCCACCATCACCGACATCACCACCACCGCCATCACCACCGCCATCACCACCACCACCATCACGGCCAGCGCCACAACCATCACTACCATGACCGCCATTACCACCACCATCATCACCACCACGGCCAGCGCCACCACCATCACCACCATCACCACCGCCACCACCGCCAACATCACCACCACCGCCACCACCATCAACGCCACCGTCACCACCGCCTTCACCACCGCCATCATAACCGCCGCCATCACCACCACCACACGCACCACCATCACGGCCAGAACCGCCACCACCACCACAGTCATAAACAATAGACTTTTGGGCAACGAATGAAAAATAAGTAGAGGTTTTACCCTTTCTGGCAATAAAACAGGTGTTAAGATTCTAGATTTGAAGCTTTCGTGACTGCAAGGATCCATACTCTTTGGTTCTATTCGGTAAAGACACGTAAAAGTGTAAAACAACAAAAAAATATATAAAAAAAATTTCACGACGTTTCAGCCACAACACAAGTGGCCTTCATCAGGTGAAGGGACCAGACTGTCTCGAGGACAGCGCTGGAGTGAACACAGCCAAGCTCAGACCGCGACCTTTAAGCTTGTGTGAGAGGAATTAAGGTGCCTTGACAAAGGAATTAGCATAAAAATTAGCATTTAATTGGCGGACTTAGCATGATGAACGGTGTAGAGGGGGTGAACATGTGCAGACCGGCGAAGGGGTAGTTTACATATTGATGGTGTGAAAAGGGAATTTAAGCAGCTGCAAAAATTTGGGATACCACTACTTGAAAAAATATACTGTACCATTGAAAATTAGTTTAATGTTTGGTTCGATTTAGAACATCTTTCCAATGGTTGCTTAATTTGAAACCATCTTCTCGGTTGAAATTGTGTCTGTGTTTGTAAATCTGAATTGCCTCATGAACAAATCTCTGATAAAAACCCGTGGGTTTGCAAAGAACCTTGGTATCGGGAGAAAATTATATCGTGATCACCCACAGCGTTGTAACAGTGATCAGCTACGGCAGAAGAATTCGTGCTGCCGTGTTTCAAATCTGATTTGTGCTCGCGAATTCGGTCAGAGACATGTTGTTTCGTCTCCCCGATATAGCAGTCACCACAGGTGCAGATCAATCTGTAAACTCCGGGGTACTGTAAGTCAGGAATGACATCCTTCACGGAAGGGATCAGGTCACGGATTTTGTGTACTGGAAGGAGCCATTCCAAGTAAAGTAGGTATTGTTGAGGCAGTGCCTAACCAGTGCAGGTGTATCAGGGTCTAGTCCATGTTGGACCAAATTTTCAATTATTTCAATGGTATCAGGTACTGGGACCTTGGTGAACAAAGAGACCACATCGAAGATGACAAGGATATCGTCAGGGGACAGTACAACGTCTTTGACCATAGAGACCAATTGGGCTGAGTTAAGTACTGCTGAGGCGGTCTTGCCAGTGAAAGGCAGCAAGGTATCTGACAGAAAACGGGCTAGGGAAGTTGATCGTGGATACGATGGGTCGTAGTGGGGTGCCTTCTTTATGAATCTTGGGAAGACCATAGAATCTAGGGGGTCTTGCAGCAGAAGGTTTTAGGGAGGGACGTTTAGTTGGGTCGATTAGGGAGGTCGAACTTGTGATGATCTTGTTGGTTTTTATCGCTAGGCTATTAGTATGGTCATTTTTAATTTTTGAGTAACTTCCATCGTTGAGCAGATTCTGGATTTTGTTGTTGTATGAATCTTTATCCATAATTACAGTAGCGTTGCCTTTATCGGCTGAGAGGATGACTATGTCATGTCTGTTGTTTTATAATTTTACGTGACTTTACCAAATAGAACCAAAGAGTAGGTGTTAAGATGTTCAAACACCAAATAGATACCTTTTACAAGGCATCAAGTCTGCATTAACCACACATACTTGTGCCAAAATATGCAAAGAAACATGCTATCTGTGTATGTATATATGTATGGGCAAAAATATCACATACATAGATACTTCAGACCGTCTGTGAAAGCCAGCAGTGCCTTCCTTTGTGAAGATAGCCTGAGAATTAAGTGAATGTCCAATGTACTCAATAATTATGTAATTAAATGTAGTTGTGCTTGTTATAGAGAAAACCCACCTGTGATGCGCCATGAGGTTCGTGGCGAATTCCAGGAGGAGGAACTCACGCAGACTGGTGCCCGACCTGCAACACAACCGCTAATTCACAATTACACATGACCAAAAGCACACAAAGGCACGGATCCCCTGTATAGCCTTAATAGACTGCTGGGGCAAGTGAAGTTGGCGAGCACCTATGAAGGCCAGCACGGCACACGAGGGGTAGGTAGCCAACACCAGGCCCGACCACCTTTGTCTCACCAGTGGCGATGTTTATGCACCTCACCAGGTATTCATTTGAGGCCGACTCAACCTAGGGGAGGAGGCCCAGGACTGGTTCTTGGCTGTGAGTGGGAATCAAACTCAGGTATCCAGGTTTGTAGCGCAGCGCGCTAACCATTGTACGACCAAGCACACGCTCACACACACTCGTGTAGTGACTGTGCTTTTCAATGTATGGTGCCGGGGCTTGCGAAACCACGGCCGGGTTTACGGGATGTAGTACCAGCCCTAGCGGGGCTTGGGTGAGCGCTGGTTAGCGCGGAGGCACCACGAGCAGTGTGCGGTGCCGGCTCCCGGTGAGGGAGCGTCAGCCAGCCAGGGTGACTCTGGGGCATGATACGCTGGATGACCTGCTGTCACGTTACCAGACAATATTGGAGGGGGGCCACCGGTGGACAGGGGCAGTGGGGCGGTCACGTGGTCCAAAGGAGCTCTCGGGAACCTTCGAGAAGGAGCTCGAGAGACCTGGAAGGTGGGCGGGGCGAAGGGTGGAGCCAGCCCCAGCCCAGGGGCATATAACGAGGGCCCTGTGAGGAGCTCGAGGTTCTTCGTGTGCTGGTGTTACGAAGATCCACGTCGGGGAGAAGAAGCCTCTAGCCATGCGGTCCGGGACCCCGTTTGTGTTCAGGACTGGGATAGCGAACCGTGTCTAGTTCTGCCGTAGCGTGGTTAGATGTGCATTCGAGACCCGAGTGTAGATCGTGTTGTGTTGCGTGTTAATGTGTAATAAATAGTGTTGCTCCCAAGGTACCGTCTGCGATTTAGTTGGACTCGCTACACTTGTACACGACGGCACTGATGTAGATACTTATATACAACTGCCACCTTGCACCACCAAGAGGCAGCAACATCACCACAGCTCTTGTATGTATGTTGAACTTCTTTCACACCGTACATAGCCGACCTGACTAATCAAAGTCAACATTTAATTGGAGTGTTCAAGGCTAGGAGCATTTTAAAGTTGTCATGTTAAGTATTGAAGGTTCTTGCAGGCAGGTCATGGGACAGACCCAAGTGTTATGGGAGAGGCCGATTTTGACACGACTGGTACCAATTTTTAGGGAGTTCACTCAGCTCGACATCCTCCCATACCTCATCAGTCCATCTCTTCTCAAGCATGTGTTGTGCTCGTTTAGACCCCTCTATCCAGTCAAACAGAAGCTACTTGGGAATGCGGTGGCTGAACATGCGGGCTACATTTCCCGGCCAACGCACCTTGCCTGTCGGAGATCATTGACAGGACCGTGTACAGATTATTTTAAGAATCTGCGAGCGCCTCACATAATGCAGTCTGGTTAAACCCAGGCTAGATCGTGGACAGACCAGCCTGAATGTTTCAAGCTTGTGCAGTTATTCCTACAAAGGGCTCCATGTTTCGCAAGAATGTAGAAGAGGGGGCATATAAATGTGGTCGAGAAGGCTCAGTGTTTCATACGGACCGAAAGGAGCAGGTAGCACCCACACAGTATTATGCAACTGATTCAATATAACGCTGATTCAGATTAGTAACGGTTGTCACGTAAACAAAACATGCCAATTCATTACCAATCAGTTACTGAACGAGTAACTAATTACTCTGTTTTTTTTCGGTAAAGTCACGTAGGTAAAAAAATCAATAAAATAAATGAAAACAACTAAATTAAATCACGACGTTTCGGGCGCAACACAAGCGTCCGTCATCAGGTGGGGACAAACACAGCGAAGACAGTTGCTGAGATATGTCAAAGAGATCGCTCTAACACGGGTTTATATAGCTGAGGAGGGTGGGGGGGAAACGAGGGCAGGGTGGGTATGGGGGCGGGGCGTGGGCTGGGGGAGTAAATACCAAAGATGTGGATACAGCTCAAGTCCCACAGGTGGGGGGAGCAGTGGGAGAGAGTGGAATCGGACAAAAGTACGACACGATTGGAAAGCTGCATCTCAAATTTCCAAGTGATGTGCAAGGCTGGGAGTAAAAGACTGGTGATGTGGATATGAATATAAACTGTTAATGCAGCTAGGGTTTAATTTGGTTAATAACATCTTTCCAATGATTGCTCAATTTGAATCCATCTTCTCGGTTGAAGTTATGTCTATGTTTGTATATCTGGATGGCCTCATGGACAAACCTTTGGTGGTATCCAGACGGCTTGCAGAGCACCTTGGTCTTGGAAAAGATATCATGATAACCTGCTGTGTTGAAACAATGATCAGCCACGGCCGAAGAATTCGTTCTGCCGTGTTTCAAATCTGATTTGTGTTCGCGAATTCGGACAGAAATATGTCGTTTCGTCTCCCCGATATAGCAGTCACCACAGGTACAACTCAATTTGTAAACACCGGGGTACTGTAAGTCAGGAATGACATCCTTTACGGATGGGATCAGACCACGGATTTTGTGTACTGTATTGTACCGGACCTGGGTCTTGTGTTTGTTTAGAATTTTGGAGATCTTTTTAGTAACGCCTGCTATATATGGTAGTGTGATGGTTTTGACCGGAGTATCAAATGGTTGTTTCTGTATGGAGAGAGAAACAGCTTGGCGGATAGTACGGTCAGAGTATCCGTTCATCTTGAGGGCCAGATGTACATGTTTTAATTCACTGGCCAGGTGGTGTTTGTCAGAGATGCAATGAGCCCTATGGTATAGTGTTTTAATGAGGGAAATATTTTGAGCTGGGTGGTGGTGGAAATCAGGCTTCAAGTAGGAATCTGTGTGGGTGGCCTTCCTGTAAACAGAATGTCCCAAATATCCATCAGGCCTCCTCTCAAACAGAACATCCAAGAATGGCAGCTTGCCATCTTTCTCCACTTCCATGATGAATTTGATGGATGGGTGTCTGGAATTTATGTGGTCTAGGAAATAGTTCAATGCTGAGAGGCCATGTGGCCAAATGACGAAAGTGTCATCCACATATCTCTTCCACAGGGAAGGAGTAACTAATTGGCATGCTTTGTTTACATGACAAACCATACTAATTGGCTGTGTCGGGTGGTGGTGGGTTTGTTGACACTATATTTACGTGATCTAACCCAAAAAACCTTTATTATGGATAATATTGGTCGAGGAAGCCTACGACTACTACGTGTTAAACTGATCCAGATTGAGACCTCTGGAGCTGGTCTTAAGCACACTGCTCATGTATGGGAACGCCTCCTTTCTCTCCACAACTGCTCCAGTTAATCAAACAGGAGGAGTTGAGGTGGCGGAGGAATTGATGGGATAAAATACCCAGGTAGGCGCTCTGTTTTGGTGGCTGATAAGGCCCCACCTCTTAGTGGCATACTCCAGGTCCAGCAGTAGATTTCTCCAACTAATTATCAGAGTGAACAGCAATTCCCACGCAACTATATTAGAAATAAACAAGTTAATAATCATTACTACATTAACATTAGCTGACCCACCCATCTCTAAACCTTATAAACAGCCTGCCTCAGCAGCTTTCCCCCTCTTTTTCACCTGATGACGATTGCTTGTGTTGCGATTGAAACGTCGTGATATTGTTATTATGGCATTACCGAAAGACCCAAAGAATATGAATTCCCACACCATTAGCATACACAACAAAGTTGACCAATTAGGAGCCATCCCTTGACCCCACACATACACGTATACAAAATACAAAGATCCCCCACATAGCATTTAACAGGCTGTTGGAGCAAGTGCTCTTAGTGAGTAGTTGAAAAGCTACATAGCGGATCTTTGTCTTTTCTATGCGTAGCACGAGGCGCTGGCTCTTACTGGAGTTGCTGACAGTGATGCAGCAGGTCACTGAGATGCGCCACGAACCACCAGTTGTTAAGCGCCAAGCTGCAGAGAGATAATAAGAACATTTGGGTCAGTTGGCAAATCCACAAAGGCCACAACACTGAACGTGTCCCACACCAAGCACCCCCCCCCCCCCTTTCAGTCTCAAAATGCAAAAACCACTGTCAGCACCACGGAGAGCACAAGTGACAATATGCACAACACACGCCTCCTTCCCATCTCAAAACACATGCGTATTCTGTAACTTGTATTTATATAATGACGCAAATTATTATTAACCTGTTTTTTTCCAATATAGTTGCGTCGAATAGAACAGGTTGCCTGCGAGTGCATTCCCTGTCAGTGAGTTCCCTGTGAGTGAGAGAGTTCCATGTGAGTGAGTTCTCTGTGACTGAGTGAGTTCCCTGTGAGTGAGTGAGTTGCCTGTGAGTGAGTTCCCTGCGAGTGAGTTCCCTGTCAGTGAGTGAATTCCCTGTGAGTGAGTGAATTCCCTCTGAGTGAGATCCCGGTGAGAACGTGAGTTCCCGCTGAATGAACGAGTTGCCTGAGTTCCCTGTGAGTAAATTAATTTCATGTGAATGAGTTCCCTGTGAGTGAGTTCCCTATGAGTTCCATGCGAGTGAGTGAGTTAGTTCCCTGTGAGTGAGTGAGTTCCCTGTGAGTAACTTGCCTGTGAGCGAGTAAGTTGCCTCTGAGTGAGTTAGTTCCCTGTGAGTGAGTTTCCTGTGAGTGAGTTCCCTGTCAGTGAGTGAGTTCCCTGTGAGTGAGTTCCCTGTGAGTGAGTTCTCTGAGTGAGTTCCGAGTGAGTGAGTGAGTTCCCTGTCAGTGAGTGAGTTCTTGTCAGTGAGTGAGTTCACTGCAAATGAGTGCATTCCTTGAAAGGTGAGTGTGTGAGTGAGAATAAGGCCCCTCGCCTGCAGTCCTTGAGCAGCTGGTGTAGGTTCATGTCGAACACGACCTGCAGGAGCTGGTCGAGCGGGGAGGAGGCCGCGTCGTTCCCATACACACAGCAGGCCGCCTGCGCCAGGCCGCACCATCAAAACACTCATCTCCCGGTTCCTGCCCTCCATTCCTTTTACAGCCAGAATTATGGAGATAATCCTCCTCTATGGACACTTTTCGATTGACTAAATCGGATTCTCCCCGTTAACGAAATTTCACTACGCCACAAATGGTGAGATCATCAAACAAGAGGCCACCCGGGAGGGCTGCATCATCTATCCGTGACAGCATCACTGTGTCCCTATCCAGTGCAGCAGTAATGCCTCCACATTGCCTCGCCAGTCATTCCAACATGCAGGAGATATTTTGGTGAGTGCCCTAAAATGTTAGTTATTTCTGTTATATTAAATTAATTAGTTTCCCCAATGTAACTGCTGCTGCAGATACAGCTTAGTTTGTCGACGCCGGGATATTACATGTCAGGAATCTTGTCCTTCACAGATGGTATCAGATCACGAATTTTTTGTACTTTGTTAAATCGGACCTGGATCTTGTGTTTGTTCACGATTTTGGAAATCTTTTTGGTTGGGGAAACTAAGCGACATGTCTTGGACCGTGTTCGTGAACATAAGGCAGATTTGAAACACGGTAGGACCAATACTTCTGCCGTGGCTAATCATTATTTAATGCAGCTGGCTCACACGAAATTGATTTCTCTAAGACGATGGTACTTTGCAGGCCAACTGGCTATCAACAAAGATTCGTTCATGAAGCCATTCATATATACAGACACAGACAATTTCAACCAAGAGGAATGTTATAGACTCAGTCTTGTTGGGTCTTTCATTGACATGCTAATTTCTCTACTCCAGCAGCTGCTCCAGCAGACCACCTCTCTCTCTGCCCCCCCCCCCCTCTCTATATAAGGCCTCAAAACAGAGGCATTGGGTCTCTGTGTGTCTCTGTGTTGTCTCTCTCTGCTTGTGTGTCTGTCTGTCTCCATGTTTGTGTTTTGTCTCTCTCTCAAATTTAGTTCTACCTGATGATGGTTGCTTTTGTTATAATCAAAACGTCGTATGCTATTATTTAATTTATTTTCTTTCTCCGTGACTTTACCGAAATAACCAAAGAATATGAATTCCTGCAGTCACGAAAGTTAAGTGAAAATGTATTTATGTTCTTTATTATAATTTTTGTATTGTGAGAAGTGATATAAGTGTACATTCTTAGGTAGCAGAGTTGGAATGAATGCGCGAAACACATACCTGCTTTTTTGTATTAAATTAATCGGAAAAGCTGTTATGACTTAAGAATTTTCATGTAACTGTGTGTATTTTTGAAGAACACACCCCTTTCATAAATCAAAGGAAACCTGTATTAGTAATGTGACAAAACCTCCCTCAATTTCACACAGGATTCGCTAGTTATTCCAAACTTGCTATGCGCTAATCGCATCTGCAACTCTGCGCGACTACTGCATCGAGAGAGATAAAGTAATGAGATAAAGTTTTAAGAGATACAGCGATGAGAGATAAAATGATGAGATAGAGAGAGATAACTTCTCAAAGCTTTAGAAGCATCTGCAGACGTCGCGCATACGCCAATATCACTATCCATGAAATTTCCTCTTCACGAGCATCTCCGGAACGTACCCCCTCACGAATAATGAGGGAATACCCAGCTACGTAGCAAAGATCGCCTCGGACTGTGAACAATTGGCAGGACTCCCTCCAAAACAGAGAGTCATCACTCAGGGAGGCTCTCCTGGTGAAAAACCAAGGGCAATAACAGTCATATAATCATCATTGTCGTGAAATCATCTGAGTTGGACCGCCATTGGGCGAAAGGCTCGGAGCGCTGCGTGGGATGGGCAGTGTGTGTGTGCGCACTTGTGTGTAAATAATAAACTATACTATACACTGCACTACAATACACACTACATCTATAATGCACACTACAATATACGCACTCACTTTTGCCTTAAATCTGTGTGTATATCTCAGTTTGTGTCTTAATGTCTGTGTGTTTACGTCTATGTGTGTGTGTATCTTTATGTGTCTGTGACTTTGTGCATCTCTGTATGTCTTCATATCTGTGTCTATGTGTGTGTCTGTATTTGCGAGGGGTACTGTAGCGGTTAATGTGCTGTGCTACGAGCCCGGTGACCTGAGTTAAATTCCCACTCACGGCCACCGGTGATAAGCAATTATATAAACCGGTCCTGGGCCTCCCCTAGGTCGACTCAGCCTCAATGAGTACCCAGTGCAGTGTGTAGTAAACATTGCCACTGGGGAGAGAAAAGCGGCCAGGCTTGGTGCTGACCACCCACCCCCTCGTGTGCCAGTGCCGGCCTTCATAGGTGCTGCTACCCGCTAACAGCAATTGGCCCCTACAGTCTGTTAAGGCTACACGGGGGATCTTTGTCTTTGTAGGATGAGCGGAGGTGCTGCAGCAAGCGCACCTGTACGTAGTGCTGCAGCTCGGAGGGCTTGGCCGTGGGGTGGCTGTAGAGCAGGCGAGCCACCATGTAGCCGTACCACCGCATGAGGCCCCTGCTCTCCATCAGCGCCTCCTCCTCCCCGGCCAGGATCTGCACAACCGCACGAGGGAATCGTTCCAACGGTACCTCGTCAGGCAACAGCCAGAACTGTGGATAAATCCTCCTGTTTCGGTCTTAAATAGAGGGGGATAAATGTGATGTCATCACACTTGTGACTCAATTTCTCCATTGTAATTTATATGAATACATTAATGAGCCCCCAACTCTGGTCTTCACACCTAATTGGCCAAAACCGGAGGAGGATTTCTTCAAAATTCTGGCTGTCGCCTGATGCTGGTTGTTATAATTATCGGTGATACGTCACGGTATTTGAATTGTAAATGTGGGTTGACTCTCTAACATACAGGTTAGTGCTGTACTAGTAACTAATTCGCATTAACTGTTTACATGGCAAACCTTACTTATTGGCTGTGTTGGGTGGTGGAGGTTTTAGCGACACATTTATATTTCAGTGATCTAACCCAGAGAAAAACTCTATTATGGATAATGTTGGTAACGAAAGCCTCCAACTACTATGTGTAAAATTGAGGGGACGTCACTATCAGTTGAAGTCATCAGTTAAACATCATCAACAAAATCTTCTATCACTTGTAAGTTGCATGGTCACTCGCTACTAAGTTGCGTTTGTGTGCTGAGCGTGCTTGCTCTTGTGTGGAGGAGGGACTACTTTGAGCGGCGCATAGGTACAATACTGCATTATTTGTTGTTGTCATTCGCCCATATTACCGCACGTATACAGCGAAGGAAAAAAGTATTTGATCCCCTGCTGATTTTGTACGTTTGCCCACTGACAAAGAAATGATCAGTCTATAATTTTAATGGTAGGTTTATTTGAACAGTGAAAGACAGAATAACAACAACAAAATACAGAAAAACGCATGTCAAAAATGTTATAAATTGATTTACATTTTAATGAGGGAAATAAGTATTTGACCCCCTCTCAATCAGAAAGATTTATGGCTCCCAGGTGTCTTTTATACAGGTAACGAGCTGAGATTAGGAGCACACTCTTAAAGGGAGTGCTCCTAATCTCAGCTTGTTACCTGTATAAAAGACACCTGTCCACAGAAGCAATCAATCAATCATATTCCAAACTCTCCACCATGGCCAAGACCAAAGAGCTCTCCAAGGATGTCAGGGACAAGATTGTAGACCTACACAAGGCTGGAATGGGCGACAAGACCATTGCCAAGCAGCTTGGTGAGAAGGTGACAAAAGTTGGTGCGATTATTCGCAAATGGAAGAAACACAAAAGAACTGTCAATCTACCTCGGCCTGGGGCTCCATGCAAGATCTCACCTCGTGGAGTTGCAATGATCATGAGAACGGTGAGGAATCAGCCCAGACCTACACGGGAGGATCTTGTCAATGATCTCAAGGCAGCTGGGACCATAGTCACCAAGAAAACAATTGGTAACACACTACGCCATGAAGGACTGAAATCCTGCAGCGCCCGCAAGGTCCCTCTGCTCAAGAAAGCACATATACATGCCCGTCTGAAGTTTGCCAATGAACATCTAAATGATTCAGAGGACAACTGGGTGAAAGTGTTGTGGTCAGATGAGACCAAAATGGAGCTCTTTGGCATCAACTCAACTCGCCGTGTTTGGAGGAGGAGGAATACTGCCTATGACCCCAAGAACACCATCCCCACCGTCAAACATGGAGGTGGAAACATTATGCTTTGGGGGTGTTTTTCTGCTAAGGGGACAGGACAACTTCACCGCATCAAAGGGACGATGGACGGGGCCATGTACCGTCAAATCTAGGGTGAGAACCTCCTTCCCTCAGCCAGGGCATTGAAAATGGGTCGTGAATGGGTATTCCAGCATGACAATGACCCAAAACACATGGCCAAAGCAACAAAGGAGTGGCTCAAGAAGAAGCACATTAAGGTCCTGGAGTGGCCTAGCCAGTCTCCAGGCCTTAATCCCATATAACATCTGTGGAGGGAGCTGAAGGTTCGAGTTGCCAAACGTCAGCCTCGAAACCTTAATGCCTTGGAGAACATCTGCAAAGAGGAGTGGGACAAAATCCCTCCTGAGATGTGTGCAAACCTGGTGGCCAACTACAAGAAACGTCTGACCTCTGTGATTGCCAACAAGGGTTTTGCCACCAAGTACTAAGTCATCTTTTGCAGAGGGGTCAAATACTTATTTCCCTCATTAAAATGCAAATCAAGTTATAACATTTGTGACATGCGTTCTTCTGGATTTTTTGGTTGTTATTCTGTCTCTCACTGCTCAAATACACCTACCATTAAAATTATAGACTGATCATTTCTTTGTCAGTGGACAAACGTACAAAATCAGCAGGGGATCAAATACTCTTTTCCCTCACTGTAACTCCACCGCTCGCCTCTCCATCTCGACTCACTCTCAAGCCACATCGTCTCCCATGTAAACGTGAGCAAATATACCCCATATAAATATTTATGTATCTATTGTTGCACTTACTTTGCTCTATGATTTAGTATTATTCTTCCTCATTGAATTGTAAAATGTGTGAGTTATTAAGACTTTACATATGGACAATTGGAGTGCTGGAATGTATTTCCTGTATCTTAGTAAATTCTTAAGGGACATAGCTGATCAGTTAACATCGCATCAGTTGAAGTCGTGTTTTAAACTGATCATTCCCAGTATATTCAAACATAGTTTGCTGGCCAGCTGGCTTGGCAGGACGTCACGTCTGGAAGGACGGACGGACTGACAGTCACGTCCAAAGGACGTGAACTGCTACTGCATAGTTTTTATGTGTATGTACGTATGTTGAACTTCTTTCACACCGTACATAGCCAAACGTCTAATCGGAGGTGAGGGGGAAGGACAACAAACTAAACACAAATATAAGTTATAAAAAAGGAGTTTTCAATCTTGATGATTTAAAAGTGCATAGCTCGAGTGGCTTCCGAATAGCAGAAGGAAGAGCGATCCAGACGGCCACTGAAGCGCATCTGAAAGAGGGCAATGTGGTGACCGTCTTTGTTCGATGGCAAGCCAACAGCCGCTGCTGCGAGGATGAACGGAGTTAGCATGATGATCGTTTATGCTCCTTGACGAGATCAGCGAGGTATTGTGCGACAGGCATGGGAAAGCCAATTTTATTGTCTGATCATTTACTTGAAAGGTGCGATTGGTAGTAAGTTTTTCTTAAAGTTAGTTAGAAATTAGTATATGTGCACAGTTTCCTTCAATGTCAGAGGCGCAAGATGCAACAATAAAGCGGTGAAGGCAGCCAGCACTAATGGCACCAATTTCCCAAGCTCTGCAGTCCTATATTGGGACGTCTGGAAAAATCCCATTCAATCACCTAATTCTTAAACTATTTTAGACTAAACTTAATTTTTTTTACCAGGTATATAGCTTTTTTTCAGAAACAGCCTGGACACAGATGATAGTGCAAAGAGTGGCTTATCAAGTGGAAACTTATAGCAGCCAAATACTCTAAACGCATGTTTCTAAATGTGGAGGAAAAAACCAGATGACCTGGCGAAAAATCCACGCGACCACGGAGAAAACACGCAAACTCCAAAATATACATGCATCAGGGTCGGGATCGAACCGACGACCTCCTGTATACCAGCCGAGGTAGTTAACATTCGCCAGAGCGGCGAGGCGGGTATCGCTCAATTCCTGTTCCAATGGAAATGAATCCAGCTGCTGTATCGCCACGTTGCTATATCGCCATCACACCCCGGGGCGACGCAGTGAGATGGTGACCTCGGGTTAAAACCAGAGGAGAGAATTTCCCCTCTCACCTTACACAGGAGCTCCAGGTGCTGGTGAGAGGCAAAGGCTCCCTCCCGCAGCACACTCTGGCATTCCTCCTGCCAGTGTCTCCACCTCAAGTCGAACTCGGCCAGGGACTGCGAGGCCTGGTCATGCACCACCACCACCACACATTCCCACGCACCACCACCACACATCACCACCACACATTCCCACACACCGCCACCAACACCGCCGCTAACACGTTCTATGAGAGGTTTTTTAGGTTAGATCGCGTAAATATCAAGGTGTCGTTAAACCCACCACCACCCGACAACGCCAATTCGTAAGGTTTGTCACGTAAACAAAACATGCCAATTCATTACGAGTTCAGCACACCGGTGTTGAAGAGTAAACCGAAAAAGTATGTTGAGGCTATAAGGGGGCTCTTTGTCTTGTAAACTAAACACATTTTTTTTAATTTTATTTTACCAGGATAAGGCCCACTGAGCTATATCGCTCTTTTTCAGAGGCAACCTGGCCACAAATGATAGCTCAACGAAGTGGCTTATTATCATGTGGACATTTTTAACAGCCAAATATTCTTAAACACATGTTGATTATATGAATATGGAGGGAAAAACCGGAGGACCCAGAGAAAAATCCACACAACCAGAGGGAGAGAGAGACACACAAACTCCAAATATATAGCAGGCATCAAGGTCGGGATCGAACTCACGACCTCTTGTATACCAGGCAAGGAAATAACATCACGCACACAGTGTGTACGAGTGTGTGTGTACGCACCGTATAGAAGGGCATCCGTTTGAGCAACGTGTCCATGTGCTTAACCAGACTCCGAGAGCCGGGGGGCACGGAGGAGGCTGTGTGGGATAGCAGTTGTCGCGCCTCTCCTATGCGGCCCTGAAGCACAAAGCCCAGCACCTGCAACCGGCATCAACAACAGGGTTAGACAAAGATCCCCCACGTAGCCTTAAACAGACTATTGGGGCAAGTGCTGTTAACGAGTATCTATAAAAGCCGGCAAGGTACACAGTATCTGCTGTTGCACTCTCTAGTTCAGCAGATATTCTTCCCAGGACCCATTGTGCATCCATGTCGCGTGGATGCGCCGATGCCGGAAGAGTGTATTGGTGATTAAAAGCCCATGGGCTGCAAATAAGTCAAGCAGGCTCCTACCAGCGTTGATGAGCTTCCAGGAGTGTACTCACCATGTGCTAGTATTGAGCATGCTTCCAGGGGTGTGCTCACCATGTTCCAGTACTGAGCGTGCTGCCAGGGGCATGTTCACCATATGCCAGTACTGAGCGTGCTGCCAGGAATGTGCTCACCATGTCCCAGTGCTGAGCGTGCTGCCAGGGGCGTGCTCACCGTGTGCCAGTAATGAGCGTGCTGCTAGGGGTGTGCTCACCGTGTCTCAGTTCTGAGTGTGCTGCCAGGGGCGTGCTCACCGTGTCCAAGTACTGTGGGTGCCGCCAGGAAGGTGCTCACCGTGTCCCAGTGCTGAGCGTGCTGCCAGGGGCGTGCTTACCGTGTCCCAATACTGAGGGTGCTGTCCTGGGTTGCTGCTGCTCAGCACGAGCTGCGCCTGCGTCTCCACGTGACTTCCGTGTAGATGCACCCAGTCCAGCAGCAGGGGCACCAGGAGGCCAGCTACAATGCAGCACACCACAGACGCTCGTGAAACTCCAAGCCTCAACCCTGCTGCAGACATCAAAGTCCGCTGTCTCCCGGTTCGCCAGGGTATGATGACAGTACAGCAAGTGGGATCATTCCCATGTGTTCTCAAATGTTCATTTTCATACATCTGTACGCTTTCTTGGGGTTTCTCCAGGTACTCTGGTTTTCCTCCCACATATTTAAACACCTGTTAATAGAGTTGGCCAAACATCCAAATGTAGGACAGAGCTTGGGCAATAAAGGAAACTAAACTATTTAATTTTGGTAGGTAAAGTTCAGAGCTGTTGCCCTCGCCACTTGGCTGTGGTTTCCTGCACCTCCATGCATACAACTACACGCAGCATTACAAATCCCGCAGCAGCGTTTTGAGACGCGATTTACAAGGAATGATTAGAATCAGAACATTTATTTACACTGAAATAATTCGATAAGCTAAAGCTCTTTTTGTTCACAGATGTCCAGTAAGGGGTGAGTCAAATGTCATAACAAACAATATGTAATGGATAATAAAGAATTAAAGCTTTCGTGACTGCATAAATTACTCATTGGTTTTTTTCGGTAAAGTCACGTATATAGGAAAATTATATTAAAATAAATCAATCACGACGTTTCGACCACAACACAAGCAATCTTCATCAGGTGTAAAAAAACAAATAGCACACAGGGTGACATCAACGCAACACATAGAGAGCGTTAAACTGCACGGAGGTAAATACAACAAGAAGATAAGAGGCGAGAATTCAACAAACCTAAGAAAAATTTATGTGATGCAAAACCAGTCGGCCAACGACAGACACTTGCCTGGCAGACCACGAATTTCAGAAGAGTGCTACATTTCGTGTTCATCCTCTGGGTTGAACATACCAGCATAGACAGAGTGAACAAATACGAGGTACAAGATAGCAGAAAAACATATACAGAGACACAAGAGGTAAGAAGAGGAAAGACGGACAGAGAAGCAAGAAAGGGCTTGAGGGATGAACAGACAGAGGCTTAAAATATGCAGTAGATGTGGCGGGAGGGGGGAGGGGCCAAAGAAAGCAAGAGGGCACGGCAGCAACAGAAGAGGGGGGAGGGGCAGGAAAATGTAAGGGGGCGCAATATGTTTAGGACAGAATTGTAAAGATAACTTCCCCGCAGAAGTGTGTTAATAAAGAATTAAAGCTTTCATGACTGCATAAATTACTCATTGGTTTTTTCGGTAAAGTCACGTATGTAATAAAATTATATTAAAATAAATCAATCACGACGTTTCGACCGCAACACAAGCGATCTTCATCAGGTGTAAAAAAAATAATAGCACATTGGGTGACATCAACACAACACATAGAGAGCGTTAAACTGCATTGATGTCACCCTATGTGCTATTGTTTTTTTTACACCTGATGAAGATTGCTTGTATTGTGATCGAAACGTCGTGATGGATTTATTTTAATATAATTTTACTACATACGTGACTTTACCGAAAAAAAAACAATGAGTAATATGTAATGGTTCGATAGAGGTGCACACACTGAACTTGGGAGGCAACACTATTTATTGTTAACACAATGGGTAACTCTAACATAGGGTGGTGACCACCGACCTATCCTCGCTAACACACACTGTCACTTGCTAACACTGATACTCTGATACGGATAGCATGGCCAAGCCAGGAGGGCTACTGGTTGGCCACGCTGACTTGAGGCTTGACTCTTTTTCTTCACGAGGCATCTTCATGAGGCATCTTCATCCCGGACCCAAGCCGGTGCGGAAGCCGCTTATATGTGCCTCGGCGTGTCCGGGCCACACCTTGACCACCCCCACTTTCAAAAACTCTCGAGGTTCTTTCCCTGTCCACGTGGCCCCCGGCCCCCACCTTGATCCGGTCAGTGTCCAGCTGGGTTCGTCCAGAGTGCCACGGCCTCACACAACCCCCGCGGTACTGACCCACGGCCTCCAGACCCCCCCGAACCGGCCGTGATGTCATTCCCGCATCCAGACGTGATGACGTCATGTGTGTGTGTGTGGACCCGCGTGGTAGTGACGCTCCCCCGCGTAGTGACGTCACGCGTGTGTGTGTGTGTGTAGGCTCACACGGTAGTGACGCTACAAGTCACTACAAATACAAAAACATGATAGTAGTGCAAAGAACTAGAAAGGTAAACAAATCGCACAAACACATACAAATAAAACTAAACCATCCCCATCCTACTTATCAGAAGGGAACTAATGGGATTACACTAGAGACAGCCTTCTTCATGGCCTTGTCCCGCCAATGTTAGACCAGAAATTGCCAAAAGGAAAACAACAGTACAAAGACAACACAAGTATCAGAACACTTATAGCTCGGGTCGAGCAGTCATATCTACGGGACCTTTTTGTCAGGCCACAACAAAACAATGCATATATTATCACAGAATGTTTCTTTGCATGTTTTGCCGCAAGTATGTGTGCTTAATGCAGACTTGATGCCTTGCAAAAGTTACCTATTTGGTGTTTAAACATCTTAACACCTCCTGGTTTATTGCCAGAAAGGGTAAAACCTATTCTTATGTTTTTCATCATTTCCCAAATCTGACACATTTTCCTGCCTGTTCACATAAAGAGGACAATAATGTTACCTGCAGTGTACGCACTCCTCGCACCATTCACCCCCCCCCCAACCCTCCCCCTCCCTGACTTATTTAACTGCCCTAACCCTGGTCTCTCTCCCACTTCAGTCATTTCCTTGCTGTGGTTGTCACACCTGATAATGATTGCTTGTGTTGCAATCGAAATGTCGTGATTTATTTATTTCATTTTTTTCACCTACGTGACTTTACCGAAAGAACCAAAGAGTATAGAGCACAATAATCACAACAACTACTATGATGTATCTGTAACTTCATTTTAGCGATGAATCGTTTTCATCGCTAGTCCACGCCAACTTTTGTTAAACGACGTTTACATTGTTAATCTTGATTATGTTTGGCAACTGTTTCAATTACTTCTGTTCTGCAGTTGTGTTTACTCTGATTTCTACTTGGTTATCTTTGCTCTGATTTCGGTTTAGCTGTTTTTTTGCTCCAATTTCGAAATGCTTAATTGATGAACTTTGCTTTGTCAATGTTTTTGGAATTGTGGTGACCCAGGTCACACTTGCAAATTAAAGCTATCCTGGCCTTTAGAGTTCTTGCCTGGTTACACAAAAAAACTTGAGGACCTCAACATTAGGATTATCAGGGACCTCAGTGTTAATAACTTTTACATGGAGACGTGGAGAGGTAAACGGTCACTCACCTTGAGCTGCTTCGACAAAAAGAACCTCGCACAGATTCCAGATCAGCTCCAAGTCCAGCAGTGCTTGCACCTAGGAGAGGGAGACACACAGGGGCATCGCCCTGACGATTACCCCTGACATCAAACATCTCAATGTGTGAGTATGGATATGTGCAACAGCTACGAACCCGAGTTCGATTCCCGCTCATGTCCAACACCAGTGACGACCATCTGAATCGGTCCTGGTACTCCGCTAAGTCGATTCTGCCTCAAATAAGTACCTGGCGCGAAGTGTAAACACCACCACTCAGGAGACAAACGTGGCCGGGCTTGATGCTGGCAACCCACCTTTCCGTGTGCCATGCCGGCCTTCAAAGGATTTTGTGGGTTTACTCTCCAGCTCACCGGTGTGCTGAACTCGTAATAAATTGTCACTAATTGACCATGTCGGGTGGTGGCAGGCTTGACGACACATTAATATTTACGCGATCTAACTCCAAGATCTCTATTATGGTGTTACACTTATCTATTACAACTGGTCGCTTGGTCTTTTGGGCCTATGGGCCCATACTGAGCAGCTCTGTAAAAAAATATATATACAATAATACCTCGATATATGAAGTAGAGGTGCTCCTGGAGCTTCTTTTGTGTATTTAAACTTTGTGTATTCACTTATTACTTTCGCCCTATGACGATTTGTTCCCAGACTTCATAAGTTACCATTTCACACTATAAACGCTTCATAGCTTGATATTATATTTACACAGTATTAAAAAATATAAACTGACATAAATAAAAGAACAGTGTAGAAGCATCATTTTAGTCATATAATGATGGCCATCCCTCACAATCGAGGATTGTCTTCCCTAGAAAAGTTGGATTATCTGTGGATACGAAGATGGCTGAAGAGACCGATCTGGGATTGACAGATTCTGCTGCAGCTCGGGCACATGTGGCCAGAAAGAGTGGGTGGAGCTGGATTAGTAAGTCGGGCTGCAGTGTTGCTGATTCCACCGTTCACGCTTTTCCTCTTTCTGATTCCGCCATTGTGTTTCAAAATATTTGGAGCCTTGAAATAGACTGTCTCCATCTGAGGTGATCCTGGGCAAGTCTCCCATGAGTTGGTGTCAATGGTGCACTTCTTTATGTTGGCCTTAAGGACATCCTTGAAGCACTTTCTCTGCCCTCCACTTGAAGGCACACCCTGACTAAGCTGGGGGTAGAAAACTTGCTTCGGGAGTATGGAGTTGGGCATATGGACATGGCCGGCCCAGCGAAGCTGATGTCGAATGATCATGGCCTCAATGCTCGAGGTGTTTGTTTGCGAGAGGATGCTGATGTTAGTGCACCGGTCTTCCCACCTGATTTTAAGGATCTTCCGCAGGCGGCGTTGATGGTACTGTATGTTATCCATGTCTAAGGTCCGTACAGTAAGGTAGAGATTATGACTGCTTGATAAACTATGATCTTAGTTTTAGACCTAATGTCACGTTCCTCAAACACCCTTTTCCTCAGCCGACCGAAAGCTGAACTTGCACATTTTAGGCGATTTTGGATTTGAAGCTTTCGTGACTGCAGGAATTACTCTTTGGTTCTTTTGGTAAAGTCACGTAGAAAGAAAATAAATTAAATAATAGAGTATGACGTTTCGATTGCAACACAAGCAACCGTCATCAGGTAGAGTATCTATGTTGTGTCTCTCTCTGTGCTGTCTCTTCTCTGGTTGTGTGTCTGTCTGTGTGTCTCCGTGTCTGTTTTGTCCCTCTCAAATTTAGTTCTACCTGATGATGACTGCTTGTGTTGCAATCGAAACGTCGTACTCTATTATTTAATTTATTTTCTTTCTACGTGACTTTACCGAAAGAACCAAAGAGTGATTTTGGATTTCTTTGTCGACATCAGCATTCTGTGAAAGAAGTCTTCGGAGGTATGGAAAATGCTCAATATTTTCCAGAGTCTCACCGCGGATGTATATTGTCAGAGCTGGGGACTGCTCATTGAGAACTGGTTGATGGAGGACCTTAGTCGTTGCAATATTAAGCGTCAGTCCCATTTTCTCATTCGCCTCAGTAAAAGTTTTGACGATTGCCTGAAGATCCGCTTGAGTGGGCACACACTACAGCATCGTCAGCATAATGGAACTCTACATCTGCTGTTGGGATGGTCTTAGTTTTACATCGAAGTCGGTTGATGTTGAACAGCTTACCTTCCATTCGGTAGTTTAGCTCCACCCCTGTTCGAAGCTTGCCAATAGTTATCTGTAGCATCACGGCAAGGAATACTGAGAGTGTTAGGGCGATAACAGCCTTGTTTGACTCCAGTCTTAACTTCAAAGTGATCTGAGATGGATCCATTACTAAGAATCACTGCTTGCATACCACCTTGCAGAAGGTGAAAAATTGTGACACATTTGGTTGACATCCATACCTTGGAAGGCTACTCCACAGTGCTTCTCAGTAAACATAATCTATGGCTTTCAAGAGGTCAAAGACGGCCATGTAGAGTGGTTTGTGTTGTTACTGAGATTTTTTCGGCAGTTGTCAGCAGTGAAGATCATGTCAGTTTGCCTCTGGATGGCTTGAACCCACATAAGGATTCTGGGAGGAGTTAATTAGCAAGTGGCAAAAGACGGTTCTGCAGAGTTCTTGCAGTGATCTTTCCTGCAGTCGACATCAAGGTGATGCCACTGTAATTTCCACAATCGGATTTATCTAATTTATTAAATATTTTCACAATCATGGCATCCCTGAGGTCATTTGGGATTTCCTCATATTTCCAAATCTTCAAGATGAGCACTCGGAACCATGATGTCAGCTCCTCTCCCCTTTTTTTATTTCAGCAAGGATTCCATCAGTTCCAGTTGTCTTATAGTTCTTCATCTGCTTGATGGTTTTCATAACTTCATCAAGGGAGGGGTGGGTTCCAAGTTCGTTTCTGATTGCGTGTTGTGGGAAGAAGTGCCAATGCTTAGATCGTGGATATTGCCATGATGTTTTGTATTTGTTTTTCTGCCAAACAGGGTGTTGGTGATGATAAATCCATGTTCTGTGCATTTCGTCAAGAGGAGAATGCCATTGGAATTGAATTTTCCCACTCCTTCCTTGCCGATGGTTCCATTCCAGAAGCTTAAGTCCCTCCCGACTCTGGCATCAAAATCACAGAGAAAAATAAGTTTGTCTCCCGCAGGAATGGTAGAAAGGACCTGATCAAGGTTGGCATAATTTGTTTCACCATAAGTCAGGAGTTGGGGCATATGCGCTGATGACAGTGGCATATTGGCTCCCTACCAGTTTGAGATGAAGAGTCACGACGTGCTCTCCGATTCCGATAGGTAACTCGTCAAGCTGATTGATGAGTTCGTTCTTGATGGCAAAACCAACTCCGTGCAGCCGCCATTGATCTTCCTGGCTGCCTTTTGAGAAGAAGGGAAACCACCTCCTTGTTCCTTGAGCTGCCCCTCCCCCATGCAAACCGAGTCTCACTAAGGACAGCCACATCAATGTTGTGTCGTCAGAATTCCTGGGTCACGATTACGGTGCGGCATTCTAGGCGTTCACTTTTAGGGTTGTCCAGGTCCAAAATTTTATTATCCGACTTTTATTTTGTTTCAACCGCAGTAATGGTGATCCCTCTGGATGTGATTATCTAGTCGGGAAGTAGTGAGGCTGACTATGTTTAGGTCACCTTTTCTAGCTCTTTCCCCGTGTGGGGTGAGCAGAGTGGATCCTAAAGAAGACTGTTCAGTCGCAGTTACAGCTGCCGAAACACACTCCTTTCTCCTCCAAGTGTTTGACGACCTTCTTGTAGTTGCCGCCTTCGTGCCAGTTTGTGGCTTGAAGCTTCCAAACTTCATAATCCTGCTCCCGACATGTTACAGCATTATCAAAGAGTATATGCGGTATTTTAAGAGGAAAAGCATTACCATCTGCAGTCCTGACCTCACCGTGGTGGTGCTGTCTCAGGTGAGTGGACATTTCAAGAATGATCTCCCCTCGTTTCTTAACCATATTTCTGCTATGAAGACAGAGTGCATTGTTCATCACTTTAGAAAGAGCCAGGCTACTAATAAGTCTAGCCCTTCTTCAGAGGACGAGCTTGATCTGGCACTGTAATGGAGCCCAAAGTGCAACCATAATGCACCATGGGCAACGATCAGTGCTATTCTTAACACGTAGGCTTTCGCGACCAATATTATTCATAATAAAGGTTTTTGGGTTAGATCGCGTTTATTTATAAATGTGTCGTAACCCTCCACCACCCGACACGGCCAATCAGCAAAAAAAGTGTCACGTTGACAAAAGACAAATAATTCACTACTTTAGCCCACCGGTGTGTTGAAGAGTGAATCCACATTTACAGTTATTATGAGTGCTATTCTTATATATAGTACAGGAGATCGATATATTTATTATACATTTAATGGTTTGAAGCTTTCGTGACTGCAGGAATCCATACTCTTTGGATCTTTCGGTAAAGTCACGTAGGTAGAAAAAATAATAGATTACGACGTTTCGATCGCAACACAAGCAATCGTCATCAGGTGGGACAGCCACAGCAAGAAAAACTGCTGAAGTAGGCGAGAGATCTGCGGTGGCACGAGGTTATATAGGCCTCGGCAGTAGGATGGGGAGAGAGGGGGTGGGGGGAGAAAGGGGGCGGGGCAGAAAGTGGACCATCGTGGCAGCACCCGGGTCACTTCTCTCTCCACCCCCTGCAGCCGATTTCTATAGTGCTGCCACGGTGATCCACTTCACTCCAGTGACCCGGGTGCTGCCGTGGGGTCCACTTTCTGCCCCAACCCCTCTCTCCCCACCTCCTCTCTCACTCCCCTTGTGCCGAGGCCTATATTACCTCGTGCCACGCCAGATCTCTTTCGCCTACTTCAGCAGTTTTTTCTTGCTCTGGTTGTTCCACCTGCTGACGATTGCTTGTGTTGCGATCGAAACGTCGCGATCTATTATTTTTTCTACCTACGTGACTTTACCAAAAAAACCAAAGAGTACATTTAAGGGTATTTGTTTACATTATTTTGACCTTTCTGTTTAAAATCATCATAAAAAAATCTAAAGTTTGTTATCCCGAAACTTCATGTATTGACTATACGCACATCGAGGCATTACTGTACATGAGACAACCACATAAAACAATTCATTTGTTTTATATTTCTAAAAAGGGTGTATCTCAGTTTACCTGTTCTTTGCAATAGTCCAACTTAATATCGTCCTCAGTTGACACTGCCACCACCACACAGCACAGAAACACACGCGAACACAAGTTGAACATGGATCAATCAGACTCCGATGATTTCACACGGATTCAAGGGTCTTACTTTGATGACATTAACCGAGCCAAAGCGACGTGAAATAATCTCATTCATTTAACATAGCAGCTTCTCAGCAGCCAAAGTACCGATTCACAATGGACTTTGGGTGAGGCCACGTAATGATCTGGGGCAAAATCACGATTGACACCATCAAAGTTAATTTGTTGATTGTACAAGCAGTTTAACACGCCAATCATTGTTAATGCTACAAGCAGCTCACCGTGTGAGTTGAAGAATCAATGTGATGACGATTGACAGTTTCAAGCGAAACACCCCATCTAATTGGTACATTTTCCCCATGAGAATTGGGTGGAAATGCCACATTCCTATGGCTGCGGCGACTTTCTCCATACGATAAGCAATGTCCACTTATCCACAATAATGGTACTTATCTATTTGACACATAGGCTTTTGCAATCAACATTAGTCATAAGAGGTTTTTTTTTGGGTTAAATCAATTAGTTACTACTTCAGCCCACTGGTGTATTGGAGAGTAAATCCACAACATTTACAATTTAAGTACGACGTTTCACTGGTAATAACATCCAGCACCATCAGGCGATTTTGCCAGAAATGATTGGCACATTTTGTTTACGTGACAAACCTTACTAATTGGCTGTGTCGGGTGGTGGTGGGTTAACAACACATTTATACTTACACGATCTAACCCAAAAAACTTTTATTTATTAAATGGTACTTATCTATGGAACCTTTTAACCAGTATCCAAAATGAAAAAAATAACAATAGGTTTTACCCTTACTGCCAATGTTAAGATTTTTTTTTAAACAAATAAGAAACCTTTTTCAAAGCATCAAGTCTGCATTAGCCACACATAGTTGTGGCAATACATGAAGAAACAAACATGCTGTGGTAATATAAGCATTGTCTTTGAAAATAATTGGCCTTGTTTCACCAGTGTTAGACCAGAGACCGCCAAAAGATGAACAGTTACAAAGATAATGCAAGAAGCAGAACACGCAGAGCTTGGGTCGAGCAGTTATATCTATGGGACCTTTTTTCCAGTATCCAAATTATAAAAAAGAACACATTTTACCCTTTCTGGCAATAAAACAGGTATACTCTTTGGTTCTTTCGGTAAAGTCATGTAGGTAGAAAAATAATAGATCACGACGTTTCGATTGCAACACAAGCAATCGTCATCAGGTGGGACAAACACAGCAAGAAAAAACTGCTGAAGTAGGCGAGAGATCTGCCGTGGCACGAGGTTATATAGGCCTCGGCAGTAGGGGGAAAGAGAGAAGGGGGGGGGGGGGGAGGAGGCGGGGCAGAAAGTGGACCCCGCAGCGGGGTCCACTTTCCAGCGGGGTCCACTTTCGCGGGATCCACGTGCTGCTGCGGGGTCCACTTCCAGGAGTCGCGAAAGCTTTAAATCAATAAAACAAGTGTTAAGATGTTCAAATACCAAATAGTATGTGTGGTTAATGCAGACTTGATGCCTTGCAAAAGGTATCTATTTGGTGTTGGAACATCTTAACACCTGTTTTATTGGCATAAAGGATCAAACCTATTGTTATAATTTTTTCGTCAATGTGGTACAGTAGTCCCTCAGTTAACAGTAACATCGGTTAACGGTTTTTCGGTTAGCATTTCGCCTCCCATAAGGACCCTATAATTTCGACTGACTTTAACATTTTGAATAACGGCATTAGTACATTGTGCATGCAGGTGCCAATTTCGGCCAATCCGAGCGCTTGTAATTGGGCTGAGCCATGCCTACATCCAATCAGCGATGTCCTTTTATGAGCGTTAAGACCTCGACTGGCTTTTTTTTACATTGTTTTCTATCTTGATTTGAAGCTTTCGTGACTGCAGGAATCCATACCCTTTGGTTCTTTCGGTAAAGTCACGTAGGTATAAAATAAAATAAATCACGACTTTTCAGGTGCAACACAAGCATCCATCATCAGGTGGGAAAGCATGGTCTGCTGCTGAGGCAGACTGTTTTTAAAGTTTTGAAATGGGTGTAGCTTATGCTAATCTCTCACATTAACATAGCCACTTCCGTGCCCTCTAATTTCTCACATTAACATCATGCTAATCCCTCACATTAATATAGCCACTTCCATGCCCTCGTCTAGGAGGCCGCTCTCCTAGCTTACTTTTAAATGCTAATTTCTCATATTACCATCACTAGCCCCGGCCACTTCTTTATGACCCTTGAGCTACAGTATTATGTTTTCTGTTTAATTTTCTCCTACCTCACCCTTGCCATGAACCCCATTAAGCCAGACATCCGTCAATGATTCCAACCAGCCTCATCAGTCAACGGCCACAGTTGTGGAGAATTCCTATCTCAATCTTAAATAGAGGGATAAATGTTATGTTATTACCTATGAGCCAATTACTCCATTGTAATTTAGATGAATATTTTAACCACCTCTGGTCATCGCACCTGATTGGCTCACAAGTGATGACATCACATTCATCCAATCAAAAGCAAAACCTTTTTTCAATGGTTTTATTTAACTTGACTTGTGTTTGTCGTGATCAAATCTTGTAATCAAAAGTTAGTCTACTTCCTGTTGTCCAATCATTTTTAAATTTTGCACACGTACTCGGATCCGGAGACAATGCATGCCTGTATCAAAATCGGCATAAAATCATCAATTAATTACCTCCTTTCAAGCAATTACAATTTTTGTATGAACGACTTATTAATTATATATTTTTGTGTAAGTCAAAAATGCCACGGTCCCTAAACTGTGAAATCGGCTCGCAGAAAAAGCAGGCGCCACGTGTCTCAGGCGCCATTGACCGCTGTTTTAAAAAAACTTTTTTTAAGGAATTTATTATAGCTACTATAATCACCCAGGAATGTCTGTCCTTAACGCTCGTGATGTCACTCCACATCGACCAGCCCCCCTCATTAATAATCATGAATAGGTTACGTCCTCCACATAGACTCACCCCTCATTAATAATCAAGAGCGGGTGACGTCACACTGCATGGAGAACCCCCCCTCATTAATAATTATGAGCAGGTGACGTCACTCCACATTGAACAGCCCCCCTCATTAATAATCATGACCAGGTGCCGTCCTCCAAGTGGGTGACATCCCTCCACATGGGGGGGGCGAGGCGCCTCCCCCCTCCTCAGCGTCAACTTATAACCCTCACTACAAAGGCAGAACAAAGGCAGAACCCTCACATCATACGATCTCCGTGACGCTTTTGAGACAGAACTAAAAATGACATCAGGATGAACAAGGGATTATAACCTTTAAATTAAATAAGTCTGTCACCACGGCCTTACAAATTGCACACGAATTGATGCAATGAATATCACGACGCAGTCTGCTTTTCGCTTGCAATTTTCAGATTTACTGCAATACACCCGTCCTTGGACAGGTGTATTATCCATTAGCCTACGTGTTAAAACAGAATTGGCACCAATGTTGAGGGCATTGGGGTTTTATTTTTCTCTTGGGCAAGTCTGGAATAGTGATGCAACTCTCGACTAAAGTTTAACTTATGTTCCATCATCTTGATGAGAAATACCAGGACGCCCCCATGATAGACTTACTTCCCATCTTCTGTAAGCCTTCCATGGTTGCTCTCATCACTGAACGGTAGCTGCGGCTAAATTCCACCAACCTGCACAAGGAAACCACATGACATGACCACCACATGACCACTACACACACAACCACCGCAGAAACACACAACCACACCAGAACCACATTGCCACACAACCACACAACCACACCATACCGGCACCACACAAGGATCACAAAACGACACCACCACCACACAATGACACCAAAACCACAAAACTACACTGGTACCACACAAACCAAACCACACTGGCACCACACATCATACAACCACACTAGCACCACATCCCAATCACCACACAACCAAATCACCATATGATGGGAAAACCAATCAGCAGAAAAATTAAAGATGTGAATGAGCGTTGCCTACAAGCAGTGCGAGTAGTGTCCCCACAGATAACCATGCTGCACTGACGATGCCTCATGGGGATCAAAACTGGCCTAGACTTGTGTCTGTTTCACTGCTACCTGTTGGGATGGCCACATTTGAGTTGGTGATGTGAATAACAAAATGGCCATGCATTGCAGTTCTTTTGAGCTGGTAGTCTGGACAAGGCTGAGTTACTGTACATGCAGTGCTGCACACCTCTGTGTGTGTTGTAGAATCCGTTTTGTTTTCAGCTGCATTCCTGTTTTTCTGTTATGATTTGCAGATTTGAGCTGGCACAATCGATGGTGCCAGACAATCAACACGCACGTGCCCTTACTGGCATCACACGCGCCTCTTACTGGTGTAATGACCAAAATTCTGGGCCACTCACCCGAACCATACGAGCAGCCACACAGACTACCAGCAAGCAGGCCAAGGCCTCCATTTAATGCAAAGAGGCCTCCATGGTGATTGATCGGGAGGGAAGGTTTGAAGGGATTGAAGGAGAGGTTCAAACTGAAAAAGGCGGGAAGTGGAGGTTGAGTGTTGAGGGATGGTTGAGAACCGTTGGGGGAGGACAGGGATTGGCTGACAGGAATACAGTGAGAGAAGTTTCGAGAGAAGAGGCTCGAAAGGGTTAAAAGGGGAGAGCACAAGGGGAGGAAATGTTCGGGGAGCTTCAAGAGTCAAGCCAGAAGCGGGTACCAGTGTGTCAAATAAAGGCTCCAAGTACGTGTGTCGGAGTCATTACACTGGTATCAAACGCAGGTGGCCCCAATAGAATGATACACACGTGGCAACTGCTAGAATCGCACGCACGTAGCTCTTACTGGTACCACACGCACGCGACTCCTACTGATATCACATATACATGGTTCTTAATGGTTTCACACACATAGGTGCCTCCTACTGGTATTACACACATGCCTCATATAGCTATCCCACATGTGGCTTCATTTGGCATACTCTTTGGTTCTATTGGGTAAAGTTCATTTGGCACTCTTTGGTTCTATTGGGTAAAGTCACGTAGGTAAAAAATAAAATAACAAAAATCACAACGTTTCGGCCACAACACAAGCGGCCTTCATCAGGTGAAGGGACGAGACTGTCTGGAGGAAGCGCTGGAGTGAAAAAAGCCACGCTCAAATCACGACCTTTAAGCTGTGTGAGAAGAAACAAAGCGCCTTGACAAAGGAATTAGCATATAATTTAGCATTGAAATGGCTGAGTGATTAGCTGGTGACTGGTCACAGAAATGGCTATGTTAAAGTTAAAGCATACACATCCGCAAAGGAGTGCCGCAAAGGGGTGCCTTTGCGGATGTGTATGCTTTAACTTTAACATAGCCATTTCTGTGACCAGTCACAAGCTAATCACTCAGCCATTTCAATGCTAAATTATATGCTAATTCCTTTGTCAAGGCGCTTTGTTTCTTTTCACACAGCTTAAAGGTCGTGATCTGAGCGTGGCTTTTTTCACTCCAGCGCTGTCCTCCAGACAGTCTCGTCCCTTCACCTGATGAAGGCCGCTTGTGTTGTGGCCGAAACGTCGTGATTTTTGTTATTTAGTTTTTTACCTACGTGACTTTACCCAATAGAACCAAAGAGTATGGATCCTTGCAGTCACGAAAGCTTTAAATCTAGAATTCATTTGGCATCACACACGTACCTCCTACTGGTATCACACACTCGTGGCTCATACTGATATCACAGACACACGTGGCTCCTACTGGTGATCACACACAGATGCCTCCTATTGGTACGCATGTGCCCGCCAGAGGCGGCTGCCGTACTGTTTCTTGTCGACAGGGCCGGCACCCTGCTGCTGTTGTAGGGAGGAAAAGATGCTGTACAGTTCGCTGTAGAGGGTGCGCATCACGGGGCAGCTCATACTGGCGTCACGCTCACACTCCACGAGCATCGCGTCGCTGTCTCCCCCTCCCGTCACACTGCCTCCTACAGACAGAAACACAAGACAAAGATGCCCCGTATAGCCTTAACGGATTGTTGGAGTAAGTGCTGTTAGCGAGTAGCAGCGCCTACAAAGGTCGGCACAGCACACGAGGGAGTGGTTGGCCAGCATCACGCCCGAACACCTTTATCTTCCCAGTGGTGATGTTTACACACGCACGAGGTACTCATTTAAGGCTGAGTCGACCTATAGGTGGCCCAGAACTGGTTCAGATATTTGTCAGTCATGTTGGCCGTGAGCCGGAATCAAAGTTGGGTCGCTGGGTTCATAGTGCAGTGCGCTAACCACTATAGTACTGTTCACGAGCCCACGCACCGTCACACATGCAGCGAGTATGTGTAGTGTGAAAACCCACTACCCGTCACACATGTAGCGTGTGTGTGGTGTGAACCCATGCACCGTCATGCATGTAGCATGAGTGTGGTGCGAGTCCACGCATCGTCACACGTGTAGCGTGTGTGTGGTGTGAGTCCACGCACCGTTACGCGTGTACTTTGTGTTATAGAGGAGCAATCCCCCAAGATGCCAGTCGAGGCCCAGCAAGGCCTGCCCTGAGCCCAGGCCATTCACCAGCTGAGAGATGGGGGCAAGAGGGTGCCAAGGTCAAAATCCACAACGTCAACACTCTCATACTCCCATCAACACTCTCACACTCCCATCCACACTCCCATTCACACTCTCACACTCCCATCCACATTCTTACACTCCCACACTCCTATCTACTCTCATCCACACTCTCACATTCCCATCCACACTCTTACACTCCCACATGCTGGTTTTTTCTCACCGTCTCCTGAACACTTTCATCCCTCTCCTCCATGACGCCGCCGTCTCTCTCCCTCTCCGAATGCAGCTGCGGAAACACAAGAGCCAAGTTAGTGGGCGGCAGCAGGAGTAACGCAGTAGTAACACAGCATTATAACACCTGTGCCTCACTGCAAGAAGCATCTCGGTTCGAATCCAGACACTTTCCATGTGCAGTTTGTATGCTGTACCCTTGGTTCTGCATAGTGTGAGTTTGAGTGAGAAAATTCGCTGTATGCTGTCCCACCCTGTTGTCGAGTGAGTGTGTGTGCTTGAATGTAATTTGTATGGGCTCCCCCCCCCCCCCCCCCCCACCATTAGTGTTTTATAGCTTTCATTCGAGTTCTCCTGTTTCTTCCAAAGATCTTCCTGCCATTAAGCTCATAATTCACAACCCCTGAACCGCACCCGTACTAATGATAGCAGCAGCAGATGATACACAAATGGGGGATTAAACTCCCCATTGTGCTACTGTGGTCACCCAAAAGAGACCATTGAACATTTCAACGTATTGGCGGTACACCGGAGGTGCACGGTGTACATTTAAAAAAGCATATTTTTCGCAATCATTATTTACTTTCCCATGATTCGCAACCCCGATCATAAAATCCTACGGGGTGGTGATGGTGCGTCAAAATTAGTTCTTGTGATATCAAAGCGGTCAGAAGACGAATGTTTATGAGTGGCTGAACACGAAGCTTTAGTCTATTGCCGTAGAGCAGCACCCAGGCTGATGATGATTGGCTGCTCTGTGTTCCAAAGGCAAATTTGGCTTGTGCCCTAGACTTGGTCAGATGGTTCCTCGATTCAACGGGACACAAATCAATGGTCAATACCGACCTTTTTTAGTAAGTCTCAGTAGACTGAATAAACCTTTGAATCGCGTCAAACTTGGCGACAGGGTCAATTAAAAACTGACAAACAGATTTGCTGATTCAAATTTTAATTTTAGACTTTTATGAGGACCAGTGTGTTATGGTGCACCGCCAATATGTCCAAATAACAGACTCAATGCCTCATCACACAAAACAAAGAAGGCATCCATCACAGGGATATTCCTCCACCACTCCCAACACAATAAATAATCTGGCTCAACCACTTCAAGGTAAATTCAGAACCGTTGCTCTACATCAACGTGAGCCACATGAAGAATGCATTTGTGAACGTTGTCACAGCAGTTAGTAAGCGCTCTCACAGGCATCCGCGGGGCTGTTCCACGACAACCGCCAAGCCGGTAACCGCTTTCAAAACCAATTACTGCTTTGGAGAGCAAATAACTGGCAAAAAATTCCAGGTAGAATGTCAGCCACGCAATCACCGATTGGCATTGCGTGAAAGTACGATTGGCGCGGCGGCCAAAGTCACCACGTGGTAATTTCCCCCGGCTCACCGGTTAAAATGAAAATTTACAGCCTCGATTTAAAGCTTTCGTGACTGCAAGGATTCATCTTCTTTGGTTCTTTAGGTAAAGTCACGTATAATGAGAATAAAATAATAAATTGATAAAATAAAATAACACAATAATATAATAACACAATAATATTCTCTCTGGCCGAAACGTCGTGAGAATATTATTGTGTTATTTTATTTTATCAATTTATTATTTTATTCTCATTCTACGTGACTTTACCGAAAGAACCAAAGAAGATTTACAGCCTCGTAATTAAAACTATAAACTTCTTTTATTTTACCAGATAAGGCCCACTTGGCTATCATCATGTGGAAATGTATCGCTCCCTCACGCTAACTGCTGGTTGGAACTCCACGAAAGAGAGGGAGAGCGCTGGAGGGTAATTGGTCTTCTTTTCCACGTCTTCCAAGAGGTGAGAACATACACACATTTTTAACTCGCTACATGACTCCGCCGATTTGGTGATCAAAACGTGCATTGCTAAACATTCTAGGTGGGTTTCTTGAATATAACCGCTAATGCCATGAACGCATTAACCCAGTCTATGTAGCGTAACAGAATAATCAAATATGCCTCCTTGACTATGGCTCCTGGTATGCTATAATTTTGTACCAAATAAGGACACCATGTCACAGTTCACCATCATTGGTTCAAGCGAGCCGGACTCTGCTGATGAGATATTAAATGTCGAAATTGGTACCAAGTTTTCATTGTGTTGAACCAATGCTGCAGAAATAATCAAAATCAGGATATTTATACCGGAAGAGGAATCCGATGACCTATAAAGCTGTCCAGTAGGAGCAGGTCAGAAAGTTACAACAATACAAAAACACAACAGGAATGCAAATTATAGGAATGGTAAGCAAGACACTAACAAAAAAAACCTGCATTTTACCTAGTAAACCCCAGATGAATGGATATTCAGACTACACAATCCGTAAAACTATCACCCCAACCAGTGGGAAAGAACAATCTGAGGACTCAATCAAAACCATCACCTTGCCATACATAGCAGGGGTCACCAAAAATATTTCCAAAATCATGAACAAACACAAGATCCAGGTTAGATTTAACACAGTACATAAAATTCGTGATCTAATCCCATCTGTGAAGGATGTGATCCCTGACAGGCAATACCCCGGCATCTACAAACTAAGCTGTGTCTGTGGCAAGAGTTACATTGGGGAAACCAAGCGACATGTCTCAGACCGTGTTCGTGAATATAGGCAGATCTGAAACATGGTAGGACCAACACCTCGGCAGCGGTTGATCATTGTTTTAATGCGGTGGGCTCACAAGAAATAGATTTCTCCAAGACGAAGGTACTTTGCAAACCCACTGGCTATCAACAAAATTCGTTCATGAAGCCATCCAATTATATAGACACAATTTAAACCGAGATGGGTACAAACTGAACAATTATTGGAAGGACGTTATTAACCAGTTTAAGTCATAGCTGGCTATGATGTTTCCATCCTACCTTCCGATATTGTTATTTGCGGCTCTACGATCTTACATTAACATGCTAATTTCTCTCACAATAACATAGCCACCTCTGTACACACATCGTGGAGGTCGTCCTCCGATCTGCCATTAACATGCTAATTTCTTGACTTAAAGCTTTTGTGACTGCAGGAATTAATATTCTTGAGTCTTTTGGTCAAGCCACCAAGATAGGTTTAAAGAAAATAAAAAAAATAACGAAAAACTACGACGTTTCGATCGCAACACAAGCAATCGTCATTTTTTTTCTCCTGATGACAATTGCTTGTGTTGCGATCAAAATGTCGTAGTTTTTTGTTATTCTTTTTTATTTTCTTTGAACCTATCTATGAGACTTTACCGAAAAACCCAAGAATATGCTAATTTGTCTCACATTAACATAGACAACCTCCGCACGCTCGTCTTGGAGGTCGCCCTCCGATCTTACATTAACATACTCATTTCTCACATTAACATCAATAGCCCCGCCCACTTCGTTTATGACCCTTGGGCTACACCCATTTCAAACCTTTAAAACAGTCTGCCTCACCAGCTTTCCTCTCTTTTTCAATGGTTTTATTTAACTTGACTTGTTTGTCGTGGTCAAATCTTGTAATCAAAAGTTAGTCTACTTCCTGTTGTCCAATCAATTCCAAATTTTGCACACGTACTCAGATCCGGTGACAATGCATGCCTGTATTAAAATCGGCATCAATTAATCAATTAATTGCCTCCTTTCAAGCAATTTCAATTTTTTCATGGACGGCATATTAATTATATATTTGTGTACGTGAAAAACACCGCGATCCCTAAACTGTGGAATCGGCTCGCACAAAAAGCAGGTACCGCGTGTCTCAGGCACGCCTGCTGTGTGTGAAGAGCATCACTCGACACAAAAAAGTAGTACATTGAAGATTAATTTGTAAAGTTATCAATTAATTGAAGTAAGAGTTGATGTACGTGTCGAGGGCGAGTTAAACGAAGTTGTGAAAAAAAAACTCCTTAAACATTTTTTGTTAAAGCAACGTTTCTCTTTAAAAGTGCACTAAAATGTTCTACAAAAAAAGTGATTATAATTCATTCCTCTGTATGTCCTTGTAAAATATTGTAATGAAAATGTTGTCCACTTCCGGTTTTTATATTTATTTTACAAAGCCTGTTTGTAAAGCACTTGTCAAATAAGGCTTTTATACAAAAATGCAATAACTTTAAACGAGCCCAGAAACTGATTAAATGATGGCGAATTTGATTCAGACATGCATTGTGTCTATATATGAGTGTGTGTGCAAAATTTGGGATCGATTGGCCAACGGGAACTGGACGACATTTTGATGAGAAGATTTGACGATGACATACAAACAACTCTGGAATTGTACGTTGGTATTAATATATATTTTTAACAAAACCTGTTCGCAAAGCACTCGTTGAATAAGGCTTGCATACAAAATATTAATTGCTTTAAACGAGGCAAGTCATTGATTAATTGATGCCGATTTTTAATCAGGCATGCATTGTCTCTGGATCTGAATGTGTACAAAATTTGGCATCGATTGCACAACGGGAAGTGGACAACATTTTCATTACAATATTTTACAAGGACATACAGAGGAATGAAGTATAATCACCTTTTTGTACGTGACTTTACCAAAAGAACCAAAGAGTATAAACTATTACTATTTATATTTATGTTTAATCCATTTACATTTAAAAATGAAGCTGCTTGTGGTCGACTAATCGGTGAGTGTTGGCGTTTCGGTCAAAAGTTATAATCTCAGGTATGAAATTTGCATTTCTTTTAAAAGAACATTTCTGCTACTTTATATAGAGCTGTAAACTCTAGCATATTTAAGAGTGACTTGTCTGTGGTTCATAAGTTGCTTGAGCTTTTGAAATGTCACTTTTATATCCCAATTTTCTACTCTCAGGTCATGAGTTCAAGGCCCGACTTATCAAACATTGCCAGCCACTCTTTGACCCAACGTCATGTGTCCTATACTCGTGCCAACAAAATAAGGAAACCTTTAAATCAAACAAAAAAGAAACAACCACGGTAACGACAAATGTTCAACAAGCATGGCAAGAGAAATCGAAAAGAAACTGCAGCGCAACGAAAGCGACGGTTAGAAAAGGCTCGGAAAAAGTACGAAGAAAAGCGTGCTAATGAAGATGAGCAGGCAAAGGGCGCCAGACGACGTGATCGTTTGCATGATCAAACAACAGAAGCACGTAACGTCCGATTGCAACGAGACCGTGAACATCATATACAATCAAGAAATAAAAAAACCACAAGCTCGTGATGCTTGATTGCAATGTGCGTGAACATGTCACAATTCAGAGTTGCACAAAGACTTGAAGCACGTGATGTCATATTACAGCGAAATCGTAAAGATGAATCGCAACGTCTTCAAGCACTTAATGCTGACATGACTAAATTTGATGATGAAATCAATACATTCTGCGATCAATTTTGTGAAGTCTGCACCAAACGCTGCTATCCAAATCAGATTTACAGAGTACGACGTAATGAAAATGCATTGCACTATCTACCAAACAAATTGTCATCAAAACAAACATTGTAACTGTGTTCACGTTGCAAGACACATCAACAGTAACAAAAGAGCTGCACCGCCAAAAGCTCAATTGAATTATTTGGATCCTGGTGAAATTCCAGATGTGATTCGAGTCTTAACACAGCCAGAACAACGTCTACTATGAAGAGTTATACAATTTTTTAAGATAATCAAATTTAGTGGAGTCTTCAGTCAATTTGGCTTCTGTGGACAGGCAGTCTGCTATGGACATCTTTGAGGTTAGTGACACTTCCACGAGCAATGGCTAATACTGGAATGGTTGTCATCACAGAACATCTTGAGAATCCGAACATCACACGTAAATTCTCTATAAATCGTGACCAAGTTTACAATGCACTAAACTCACTAATTCAAAACAATCCACTTTAAGGGGATGTAACAATCAATGAATAAGCTAACATCGCTGATGTACATTCATGTTAAGATCCAACATTGATGTCTGAAAAGGACTTGTAAATGGTGCAATTGGATATATCACAAAAATCACTTGGCCTATTCCTAGTCGTGCACAATTGCACGAAAGACCAATACCTTCACTAGTTGAAATAGACTTTGGCAAGGACGCACACACGAAATTAAGCCCAAATCAGTTAAGTTCCCTGCTAATCGTGGCTATGGTACAGCTGAATGAAGAATGCTCCCACTAATTCTATCATGGGCATCGACAGCGCACAAAATGCAAGGATGTACAGTGCATCATGTAGTCGTGTACTTGGGATCAAAGCTCTTCGAAGCAGGTCAGGCATATGTTGCCTTGAGTCGTGTTCGCTCGCTGGATGGACTTCAAATTGAAAATTTGGAAAACCAAAAACTGACCGGAAAGACACCATGCAAATAATGAAGCGTTAGCAGAAATTAATAGAACGAGAAACCATCAACCACATTTAAAAATGTGGATTTGTGTGACATCTTATACACACAAATATGGTTGAGTACATTGCAAACAACATTAAGGCAATGTATAGAGTTAAGAACATCTTATTCACACAAATATGGTTGAGTACATTGCAAACAACATTAAGGCAATGTATAGAGTTAAGAACAGTGCTCTCGGATCGCACTATAAAATGTAAGGTCCACAAAAGAAGTAGACTTAGTTAAATAATATTCCTTGTAATAAATTCTTTACTAAAATAAAGACTTCAAATTTGAAAATAAACTCCTTAAAATTGTATTTTTAAAAGACAACGGTTTTATTTTAAAGTGCACTAAAAAGTAACAAATTATTTTCTTTCAGTCGTCACCAGCTGATCAGAATATGTTTTACAAGTGATATTAAAGGAGTGCCCCACGGTTTTATGTTTTAGTTCCAAATGTCAAAAAATATTCTGATCAGCTGGTGACGGCTGAAAGAAAATAATTTGTTACTTTTTAGTGCACTTTAAAATAAAACCGTTGTCTTTAAAAAATATTTTTAAGGAGTTTATTTCTGCCTGATGACGACAGCTTGCCGAAAGAAAATTTGATTTAAAGCTTTCGTAACTGCAGGGATTCATATTCTTGGTTCTTTCGGTAAAGTCACGTAGAAGGGAAATAATAAAAAAATATATAAAATAATAAAATTCTCACGACGTTTCGACTGCAACACAAGCAATCATCATCAGGTATGAAAACCACAACAAGACCCAAATAATATGAATTCCTGCAGTCACGAAAGCTTTAAGTCAACATTTAAACCCCACTAAGCTACCAAATGATAGCTCAAGAAAGTGGCTTATCACGTGGAAATCTATAGCAGCCAAATAATCTAACATTATGCACAAGTTACGTGGGACAGACATGTTAAAATGTTATTTATCCAGGCAAGGCCCACTGAGTTATGTAGTGTTTTTTTCAGAAGCTACCTGGTCACAAATGATAGCTCAACGAAGTGGTTTATCATGTGGAAGTTGATAGCAGCCATATACTCGAATCGTACGTTTCTGAATGTGGAGGGAAAACCCGAAGGACTCGGGAGAAAAATCCACGCGACCACGGGGAGAGAGACACGCAAACTCCAAATATACAGCAGGCATCAGGATCGAACACACGGCGGCCTCCTGATTACCAGGCGAGGTAGTTAACATGTCACCACCGTGGCGCCCACGTGTGTTAACCCAGACATGTTAACCCAGACATGTTAACCCAGGAAAGCCTCGCTGAGTCTCAACTCTTCAGGCGGGTCCTGCCAAGTTGTCGTATTCATGGGGCGATGACTGCTGTGTGTACAGGATTCCCTCGTTTATCACAAACTTGCCATCTGCGTTTTCAGCCGCCCCGTGAATCACAGCTGGAACTACACGACTGTATTTGTACTTTAATACTTCCATAAGAGGTTTTTTTTGGGGGTTAGATCGTGTAAATGTGTCGTTAAAACTTGCCACCACCCGGCACAGCCAACTAGTAAGGGTTGTCACGTAAACAGAACATGCCAATTCATCACTAGTACAGCACACCGGTTTGTTGGAGAGCCAAGCCACAACATTTACAGTCCTCAGATTGTAGCGCGGTGTAGCGCAATGGTGCTGCACCGCTCCACTATCACCAGACACAGACCCCCCCCCCCGTATCGCCTTAACAGAACGGTTTGGGCAAGTGGTTAGAGAGCACCTATGGAGACCAGCACGTGGGGGGGAGGGGCAGCACTACGCCCAGTCGCCTTTATCTCCCTGGTCGCGTTTTTTTTACAAACCACACCAGGTCACAATTTGCGGCTGAGTCGACCCAGGGGGAGGCCCAGGCCGGTTCAAATAATCCGTCACCGATGTTGGGAGCTGTAAGCGGGAATCGAAATCAGGTCGCCCGAGTTTGTAGCGCAGCGCGCTGACTGCTACACTACCGCTCCCTCACAGTAGTGCCAACGTTGATCTCCCCTTACTCTCTCACTCGGCGAGATCGCCATACTTCACCATTTTCAGCCTCCGCTCACTCCACTTTCTCTCCCGCCTGTTCGCGCCGACTGCGCGCTGACGTCAACCGCGTGCTTCCGGAGTCGCGCGCTGCGTCACGTGATCCGCGGCCATGTTTGTAAGGGCGGAGGGGGTGACGTCAGTTACAGGGGCCTCCGCCATATTGGTAAGGGAGAATCATAATCTGAATATGTATTTATACTGGAGGAATCCGATGAGCTATAAAGCTCCCTTTTCACATACACATTGTAATTCTACTGCATTTATACAATTAATATCACACCCAGTTAAACACGTGAATATATAATTAAATGGCTCGCACACCATTGGCTCATGTAGAATGCACTATCGCTGTAACAGGTAAAGTCACGTAGAAGTCACGTTTGATATTTTTATGCTTTTATTGTTCCCTTTCTACGTGACTTTACCGAAAGAACCAAGAATTTAAATCCCTGCAGTCACGAAAGCTTTAAATCAAAATCAGAATCTTCTTTATATTGCAAGAAGAATCCGATGAGCTATAGCGAGTTTTCCCCCATAGATGTTCAGTACAGCACGGGTCAGAACAAAAAACACGATAGGAGTGCCAATTATAGGAATGGTAAACAAATCACGTAAAACATACAAATACAACTATTGTTTAAAGTTGTGTCCAGCGATCAGACTAAACTAAACTACTTTTAAACAAAGCATTTTTTTATTTTATCAGGTAAGGCCCACTTAGCTATGAAGCTTTTTTTTTCAGAAGCGTCCTGGCCACAAAAGATAACTGAAGTGGCTTATCCATGTGGAAATGTATAGCAGCCAAATACTCTAAACGCGTGATGTTGATTATAAAGCCGGAGGGAAAACCCGGAGGACCCGGAGAAAGATCCACGCTATTACGGGGAAACTCCAAATATACAGCAGGGGGGTCAGGGTTGGTGCTTCCATTGCACCAACGCTGATAAAGAATATTTACTCCGAAAGCAAAATTGTAGGTGATAGTAAATATATACTTTTATTTGTTTCTATGGAGGGATGTGTATTTTACTCGGTCCACTATTAATAGCAGGGCTAGGTATGTAAAATACTATACTCTCCTCACAAACGATAGCTCAACGAAGGGGCGTATCGTGGAAATCCACAGCGGGTTTCTAAATGTATCGGTGGGTGAATGTCTGAGGCGGTGGGAGCGGTGGTGCAATGGTTAGCGCGATGCGCTACAAACCCGGATACCCGAGTTCGACTCCCGCTCACGGCCACCAAACAACCAGTGACTGCCTCAAACGAGCGTGTAAACATTGCCACTGGGGGAGCGGGGGGAGAAAGGCGGCCGGGCGTGGTTGCTTACAACCCCACCCGCCCCCTCGTGTGCCGTTCCGGCACTTCATAGATACTGTACTCGCTAACTGCACTTGCCCCAACTTATGTGAAGGCTACACGAGTTGGGGGAATCTTTGCCTTTGGTGACGTCACTTGCAGACGGCCCCGCGCCATCTTACATAGGGGTAAGATGGCCGCTCAACGTTGAGAGAGGATGGAAGTCGTGGAGGAGGGAGGAGAGGAGGAGAATGCTGCAGGGCGGACAAGGTGGAAGAGGTTTTACTTTGCGGACGAAGAGGAGGAGGATGATGACGCCGCGCTGCTCGTTACAATCCCAGAGGTGAGCGGCGGCAGAGCAGGACGCGTGACATCACGGTGGCGGTGTGGTGAGTGCGAACGGCGGCGCCATCTTGCATGGGGGGAGGGGGTGGTGAGCGAGTTCCACTTTGGCGCTCGTTATTTTACGGCGCGAGCGAGTCAAGTTGGTGGCCATTGTCCCCCCCTCCTCCTCCTCCCCACATTACTGTGTGACGGGGAACTCGTTCATCCAGGGGCCTCTACCACTTTTGACATTGGTGACAACTCCTTAGCGTATCGACCCACAACCAGGATGGTGGAATTGTTGGTGGGGAGCGGTGGTGCAACGGTTAGCGTTCGATTCTCGCTGACGGCCAACGCCAGTGACGATTTACCTGAACCGGTTCTGGGCCTCACCTGTGTCGACTCGGCCTCAAATTAGTACCTGATGTGGTATGTAAAACATCACCACCGGGTTATGAAAACACGCATTCGAGCAGTGCAAGTCACTTGCTATTCGCAAGGAGTACTGGAGTAGAAGCCACGCGCATATTCACCACCATTAGGTGGCGCTGGAAGCTGCAGGTTTTAAACACCAAAATGAAAATCGTTGAGGACTTTCCTCACATTTACTTGTTTATACACTTGTCGACCAGGGTCGGAAACGTGCAGCTATTGAAATTCGAAAAATGGCTCTTATTTTGGTGGCCGACCCATGGACTATGGAAATACTGCAGCTTGGGAGCCACATGCGGCTCATTCGGGACCATTTCGTATGCACATGCATCGCGGCTCGTGAAACATGAGGTTTTTTTTTACCGAATTAATAAATAAGTAATATTTAAAAATACATTTTTTTAACACGCTTTAATGAAATGTACCGTACTCGTAATGGCAAAACTCCAGGAAGGGGCCCCGAAGCTTACCGTGGTGATTTACAGCCAACGTCAGTTGTGCGTGGACAATTAGACCCAAGCCGAAACATAAGATATAAAAAAGATTGTTTAAAAAAATATTTTAAAAATTTTAATGATAGATTATAGTATTGTAATCAGTATGAAATAAGTATACCAAGTTTGCAGTCGATACGACATTGGGAAGTGGGTTAAAATTGAGTTACAAGATTTGAGGATACAATAACAGACAACAGACAGAGTTGAGGATACAACAGAGTGAGTTAAATAAAAGCCTGTAATTTAAAAAAAAATAGACTATCCAATGTTCTCTTTAAGTTTCAAATGTGTCTTGCTTCTCTTTAAGATCTACTAAGGCAAGGGGACTTCCATGTGCATTGTAACCTGGATCACCATAATGAAAGAAACAACATCAAGTACAGCAATGAAGCAAATATAAAACAACTGTATTACATATAAAAACACTCCACGAACATCAATGTAAAATTAAAATATGTCCTGGAATGAAAGTTGGTTTTGAAAATTAGCTTTAAAATTTCACCTTGACACTAAGTTACAAAACATGCACATCGATGATTGCACTAGTGATGTGTCCTTGATGTATCGTTCTGTCGTAGCCCAGTGCGCGATGACCCCACACCAGGATACCTAGGGATGTTATCATGGATAGAAGCCTGACTTTTAAGCCCCATATAAAACTGATGTGAAAAAAAGACCAAAACAGGGATCACCTTGCTACAGAAACTTGCAGCAATAAGTTGGGGTGCCTGATGTTCTACCAACTGCCGCCCTCTCACTGATCTACTCGGTGGCAGAGCATTGCACTCCAGCCTTGTCCGGGAGCTCTTGCACATAACTGCTGGATGCACAAACAACACTGCGCATCATAACCGGGGACACTGAAATGACACCAGTCCCCTGGCTCCCTGTTCTGGGTGCACATTCTGCCACCAAATAGCTGCAGTTTGCATGTTCAGCCCATGGTTGCATGGATTTTTCTCCGAGTCTCCACATTTAGAATCATGCTGTGTTACGTATTTGCCTGCAATACATTTCCACATAATAAGCCACTTCATTGGGCTTATCAATAGTCGCCAGATCACTTCTCAAAAAGAGCTATGCAGCTCAGTTGCCCTTAACTAGTAAAATAAAATAAAAATAGTTTACAGTTTAACACGTAGGCTTTCGTGACCAATATAATCCATAATACAGGGTTTTTTTTGGGTTACATCACGTAAACATATATAAATGTGTCGTTAAACCCGCCACCACCCGACAGCCATTTCTGGATATTCTGCTTGGGCGCAGTCGAAATGGTAAAATAACACAACGTTTACCGAAAGAAAACGCACACTGACGCCTATCTGAATGCAGTCACACCATCATTCCGCACAGACATCCTCTCTCATCAAGATGTTCCTACATCGGGCTAAGAAAGTGTCAGATGGTGAAAGTCTGAGAAGTGAAATTAAACACGTTACAGAAGCACAGCAATTGAATGGTTACAATGATGCACAAATCAACAGGGCACTGAATGCCAAAACCAAATCAAATAACACGAGCGTTGAAACTGACCAAGTAATTAAAACTATTAAAATACCATACATTGCGGGAGGAACTGATTAACTAGCTAGTTGTTTGAAAAAACAAAACATCCGTGTCAGATTTGGCACGGTACATAAAATACAAAAATTGATATCTGGTACAAATGATGTATTACCGAAGCTATCAACAGAAGGTGTGTACCGGATTCATTGCACTTGTGGCAAATGCTATGTTGGGCAAACAGGACGAATGAAAATAAATATTAAATTATCCCAAATACAATTGTCGGCGTTGTCAAAAACATGCATGCCAACAAGGACGCTCAATTGATTTTGATAATGTTGAAGTTCTGTGCAAAACTAGTTGCTTCTGGCCAAGACGAATTATAGAATATATCTAAATTGAGAGAAATAAAACAAATTACCAATCGGATAGCTACAGATGTAGTGCTGCTTGCAAGTTAATCATGAAATAATACATTGTTTAAATGCATGCCTATACAGGTCACCATACTTCAATACGGAGTACACACAAACGACAGGAGATACAAGAATAATGGGCTTGCATAATGTGCATACTGATTACCATATAAATAACCCAACCAGCAATCGATACCGATTGTCATTCATATGCATTAAATAATCCCTCCACAAATCTGGCTGTCGCCTGATTAAGCTAGTTATAATTAGTGGCAAAACGTCGTACTCAGATTGCAAATGTTGTGGCTTTGCTCTCCGACACACCTTTTATACGTGACAAACCTTACTAATTGGCTGTGTAGGGTGGTGGCAGGTTTAATTAAACATTTATAGATTTATGCGATCTAACCCCAAAAACCTGTATTATTAGTTTAGAGTGTCAAAAACCGTTGCAGATCCTGCTTGTTTTTAATCAACACTGCTGAAATGATGCACTTCCAAAAAGGCTCTGTGGCGCACGTATATGTGATAAAAAATATACTTTAACTTTTCACGCGCAGCGACAGATATGAGAAGAATGGTTTTATTGTCTGCCGAGTTGTACTGTAAACAGCAGCTCCAGGGGGGAGCGGGGCAGAGTAATTTTAGCCACTGGCTACTTGAGTCAAACCGCTAAGCCACATGTCGGCTGACCCGCTGCATTCACTTGGTGTGGCATAGCAGGCATAGCGCTGGCAGCTTTGGGCCCAACATTGAGCCTTACTTAGATCTGGACGTATGCACACGGCCACAGCGCATGTACACATTGCAGTCGTTACGTAATCGCGCTATGAGCGCACATCGCATATGTAAATATAATATTAATATCCATAGTAAAAACCCATTAATCTGCTTGGCATCGCAATCCCAGCTGAGTTGTCATGGAATGGCTGTGTTACTAAACTGGCTTAAGGGCCCCTCGATGAAGCAATGTTTTTCCCTTCTCAGTACCAAAGCGAATTTTACTTCAATTATTGCTGACACATTCGGCTGATATTGGAATGCATGTTTGTCATATGAACCTCATGGCAGATTGGCAGGACCCCGGGGTCCCATATACCCCCGGCTCTCACGTAAACATATTATAATGTAAACAGAAACTTTGCTCTTTTTTACCAATGGGTTTGAAGGATGGTGGCAAGTGTTGTCTTGTTAAACTATGCCTTTAAAACTGAAAACTACTTAGCTGCAGTACCTCTATTTAAATACACTATAAAATAATTTATACCCCTCTGTCAATCATCGTGTTTCTCAGTATGGATTGTGAACACACTTTGTCAACAGTACATAAAATAAATTTTGATTTAAAGCTTTCGTGACTGCAGTAATTCATATTCTTAGCTCTTTCGGTAAAGTCACGTTGAAGGGAAACGATAAAATAATAAAATATATATAAAACAATAAAAAATCTCACGACGTTTCGACCATAACACAAACGGTCGTCATCAGGTGTGTCGGTTTGCATAAATTTATTTATTTTTAAACGGTGTATTTATAAAAAAACGTCAGCGCCACACGCAGCGATTTCGCAGTTTATTTAGAAGGACTAGTCCATCTATGTTCTGAAAAGAGGAGGGGGGAGACGAAAAATTAATGTATGCTGTCTGAAAGCCACTGTAAGCGTGAACAATCAATTAAGACCTGAAATGGTTTATCAAATCTTTCCAATGATTGCTAAGCCAGAATCCATCTTCTCGGTTGAAATTGTCTCTGTGCTTGTATATGTGGATAGCCTCATGAACGAATCTCTCATGGTAGCCAGGTGGCTTACAAAGAACCTCTGTCTTGGAAAAATCAATGTCATGTGAGCCTACTGAATTATAACAATGATCTGCCACGGCCGAGGTGTTGGTCCTACCGTGTTTAAGGTCTGCTTTGTGTTCACGAATGCAGTCTGAGACATGGCGTTTGGTTTCTCCAATGTAACTACTACCACAGAGGCAACTTAGTTTGTAGACACCAGGGTACTGTATGTCCGGAATCACATCTTTTACAGACGGAACCAAATCATGGATTTTATGTAATGTGTTGAAACGGACCTGGATCTTGTGTTTATTCAAGATTTTGGAGATCTTTTTTGTGATCCCCGCAATGTAGGGTAAAGTGATGGTTTTGAAAGGCTCCTC